CTTTATTACTGCCTATTAGATATTGTACAATTTGTCAAGCAAGATGTCTTTCTCGTTTTTAATTATGGATTAGTACTTTCTATAAATATCCTAAGGATTCATTGCATACATAGTGTTGTTCACAGGCTTAAGTCTGAATTTTATCGATAGTTTAGTTAAAACTTTGTCATAAAAATTGTGCATTTTTTAAACACCACTGCTTCCTATCTCATTACAAATATGTGTATGCATCCTTGATATATGTATTTATTTTCAATATGCAGTAATTGTATCGAAAAAGTAAAACTTATCTAACGATAAAGAAACATGAGATAACAAATAGTTAAGTGAAATGAAATTCAAAACACGTCCGTCATTTGTCCTAAATATACATTTAAAAAAGGAAACTATGACTCGAGTCAATACGTGTTTTGAAACTCGAGCGTATTGACGGCATTGACCCTTTGTAATAATTGTGTAATTAAATACGTCAAAAGAACGATAACAATGAGGCAGTTTCGATTATCCAACGGCGCGGCTGTTCGAAGCGGACTCGAGAATGAGGGCGGATCTTGTTTCGTAACGCGACACCCGCCCGAAGAAAGTGAGAGCTCCACTCAGACGGATGTGGGGGAACTCCAGAGCCATTTCATATCTTAAATATTTTCTCTACGATAATCATTTGACGTAACTAATTGCTCGTTTTTTGTACACGAGTTTTATATTAATAAATTGCTTCAAATCAATACATAACAGTTTTGATGGTTTGTAATAACATTTTGTTTAATAAATTCATTTCTTACAAGCACCTCGTATAATAATATCAAAATTTATTTGGAATGATTTTTTAAAACAAATTAACACTTTTAATTTTTTTCTACTACTTAAAGATCCCTTTACTGGTATCCGACAACATCTTAACGCGACTGCTTTTAAGTCTCAATTAAAAACCTAATTTCACTTCATTGAAATTTTATTCTCACATAAAATACCGAGACACTTTCGTTTATTTGAGAACGTACAATACAGATATAAATTGCCTCTTGTCTTTGTTTGCAGATTAGATAGTTAAAAAGTACACGACGCAATTGGCTTAGCCTATTGTTTATAATAAGTATAGAGACTGCTGTGCATTGTACCAAATACTTACTAACTTAATTAATCTAGTGTCCATTAAGGTAGTATAGTAAATTTACCATAGTCATTCACACCAATTACAATAAAACTGTAAAGCTAATTGGTTTAAAACAGAAATGTAAGTCTTAAAAAAGACAATTTAAAATTTTTCTATCACTCTTTGGTTTCTTTTTCTTTTTTTATATATATTTTTAAAGGGGGCTTTGTACTGTTTGGTTTCGACTACAACAGAATTGTGTAGTTTCGGTAGTTTGACAGAACTAATATTAATTATATTAGTATCTAGTCCGGCTGAAGATTTGTCAAACTTTTCATACTAATATTATAAATGCGAAAGATTAGATGGATGGATGTTTGTTAGAGTTTGTAGCCTAAACAGCTGAACATATTTGATATAGATGTAGAGGACGATTTGGAAGAACACAAAGGCTACTCGGTTTTGTTTATTTTTAATTCCACGCAGACGCAGTCACGGGCGAAAGCTAGTATCTATATGGTTGATGTATCAAGCCTGCAACCGAGATATGTAAAAATTAGCGATTTCCATTATGTATTTCCACACACTTGTGAATATTATTGTTTTAACTTTAGTTTTAAATTCAATATACTTGTAACTAGTATTATCTGTGGTCTAGTTACTAAGAAAAGTAATTGTATTATATCACAATATAAAAAACCCTGTCTAAACAAGTCTATCTAGCATCTTGTAAGGAACTATACCGTCGACGTAACATTAATGAGTCACATTTGTTATTGTTCGTTAAATGAGGACAGTTGCGCAACCGACTGCCGTTATAGAGGGTCCTGATGACGTCACCCGCTGAAACTAAAGTGAAAGTATTTCTTGTAAGGTATTCGAGACGTTGGACTAATACTAATGTGTTTTATTACATTTCATTCATTATCTAACAGTGTTTTTATTTATGATATACTAGCTTTTGCTCGCGACTCCGTCCGCGTGTTATAAAAAACAAAAAGTAAGTAGCCTATGTGTTTTTTCAGACTATGCTCTATATCTGTACCAAATTTCATCCACATCCGTTTATGCTACAAACTCTAACAAACATCCATCCATCCATCGTAACTTTCGCATTTATAATATTTATATGATAGACAGTTTTCATTGATTAAATACTTGTATTTTACCATATTTGCATATAATTATTTTCTTTTAGATTGAGATAAAATGTTCACTTGACACTGGCCCAATCCGCTAAGGGTGTGCCGTAGACAAGAAACTGAAGTAAACTAAGATAAAATGCATCGTGCGTGTATTTTTGCTATAAAACTTACATCAAACTTCAAACTTAATATTATAAATGCGAAAGTTTAGATGGATGGATGGATGTTTGTTAGAGTTTGTAGCCTAAACGGCTGAACGGATCTGGATGAACTTTGGCATAAATGTAGAGCAGAGTATGGAAGACCACATAGGCTATTTGCTTTTGTTTGTGTTAATACCACGCAGACGGAGTCGCGGGCGAAAGCTTGTTATGTCATAAATATGTAAAACTAATCCATTAAATAATGTGTAATTTCGATCTATATATTCATAGGACAATTACAATTCCGCTTCCCACTAAATGTATTTGGTGAAAGTTATTTTGGTTTTCAAATTAGTAAATTATAACATTAAAATATATGTATGGAGATGACATTACAAAAAAACCATCAATTGATTATGTTGTAATAATTCCTTAGAATTGAAATTTCGATGAAGATAGAATAATATATTATCGAATGTTAAATAATTAAATGATTTGAATCTCAAATCGAGAAAAAATTATATGTATTTAAGTGTTACATAAAGTTTTTAGTACAAATATATTTTATTAACAATTTGGTAGACTCCAATTACATATTTTGGGAATAAAAAATATGATATGTGACGTTGCCAGTTAAAGCATTTGACTAAACTGCGTTAACTATGTATATTTTTACAGCAATACGGGTTTACATTTAGCACACATAATACAACTAGCTTTCGCCCGCGACTCCTTCCGCGAGGTGTTATAAAAAAAAGCAAGTAGCCTATGTGTCCTTCCAGACTATCCTCTACATCTGTGCCAAATAACATTGAGATCCGTTAAGCCGTTTAGGGTACAAACTCTAACAAAGATCCATCCATCCAAACTTTCACATTTATAATATTAGTAAGCAGTAAGATAGTGAGATAAGAAGTAAGATATTACACAAGTCTAACTAACCTTACCGTAGGATTCCATTGATGTGATCCTTGCAATAATTCATTTTATCATCCCTTTAATTGTCTTTGACAAAATAGATATGACACAGAATACACAAGTGTGAGTGGAATATAGTTAAAGATGCTCTCAAAAGATTGTGAAACTAAAACAATTTCAAAGATATCGATCAAAACAATCAAATCAAATTATAACTCTTGACACAAATCAAATCTTATTTCAAATACGAGTTACTTCGAGTACATTTACTTTCTTTATTAAAATGAAAAAGAAATTGTACACGAATTTGGTATTTAATTAACTCTCGGAAGTTTACTATGTATTCTTTAATACTGCGTCTCACATAGCGAAAGCGTAACATTTCGTTATATTTCTTTAAAACATAACCTTAATAATTTTAATATTTAAATGACGAAAACAACTTACGATCTTAAAATGTGGTTCTTTTAAGTAAAAATTCACTTCTAATTAGTTAATTTTAACTAAATTATTAAAACTAACATTACATAGTATAGATTAGTAATTATTTTTTAGTTTAATTCCTTAGTTTTACCAAAGAATAATTTGTTGTCATAGAATAATTAAATAACAGAATAAAAATTCCATCATATAATAATTGCTAATGACAGACATTTAGAGAGAAAGTACAATAAAGTGTCCTAGAGATCAGAAGTATTATTTCCTTTAGGTCATTATCTCGATTAGTGAAACTCAAATGAGCATTGCCTAGCAGGTACAAGCAGTAAAAGCGTACCAACCCTCGCGAGACGGCATTCTCGTCTAACTTTCACTGACGGGAACACCACGATTTCAACTGTAATTGATCCGTTAGAGAATGTCCTTTGTCGTTGCATTAACCATACTTAGTATGCAAAAACTCTAACATATTCGTACTATTAGTCGTTAAATATACCCTAACCGAGACCCTCAGACAGGATAGAAGGCAACAGCTTACAGATGTTAAGAGTATTTAAGTTAAAGTTTATTTTAATAGGTCACTCTATGTATAAAAAGACTGTTAGAACGGGTGCACAACTTTGACTAAACTATGTTATATGATTATTATACAGTTGTATGATTATCGATTGTTTCGCAGCCAATTCAAATGTTTATGTCCTACTAAAAAACGAGTAGTGTGAGCATCTTCATATAACCTCATAGGAATCATAGCGCGACTAAAAAGTTGTGAGATAGTTTAGTTAAAGGGGTGCGCGAGCTCAATATTGCTTGTTCTGTGCTTTATGCTATAGGTGTTTGTGAACAAAAAAAATCGTACACATATACCTCTTAAATATAAGCGCCTGCAATAAAAATATAATACATAGTATCATTTGCAAATGCTTTACAACGCGGTTAAGTCTGACCAGGCGTCGAATTTATTCTGCCATAAAGGTTTGTGTTTTTATGAAAAGTTAATAAATCAAAAAACACCTAATTGGTATGAAAAATAAAATGGATGTAATGATTATAATAATAGTATCTTTTTACATATCTTATTAAAGAGTTGATACTACTGTCACTATCACAAAAGGTCAAAAATAATGATTTCTCACAATAATTATACCTCTTTCAAGATAGAAATGACACAAACTAAGTATAAGATAAAATTGTAGTTGAAAATCTACAAAATTAACAATCATGTGTAAGGATTCACTATATTTGAGACTAAAAATATGCAAATAAAGATATAATAGGTACATATTTATTTTATACAAAATATAAATACATGTAAGTATTCCAATATCACATATGAAACATTCAACCTTGTTTAACAGCTTGACTGTAACTGTATGGGCGTATAACACTGGCTTTACCCTGACTATCGTAGAAGTTAATAAGATGTTGAACACTGCCGGGTCCCGGTGTAGTGACTGGCTTACCCGCTGGACTCGGATACACGGGTACTGGTTTAATTTGAGGCGGTGCTTGGGTGGTCTGAATAGGTTTCGCTGGTACCGCTTTAATAGTAGTTGGTACGGGTGCAGGTGTTGGTTTAGGAGTGACGTTAGCAGGTGTAGGCGCTGGAACAGCTGGAGCTGGATTTGCAGGTCGTTGACCAGGTCTCATACCTCCAGACTCCATGTTAATAAATGCAAGGTTCGCATTTTTGTCAATAGGCGGATATACTTTACGACCTGAAATATTACAAAGATAATTACAGAAATGTTTAAATCTTACCGATAAGAGAATGAATAATATTCTTCAAAAAGCTTATAAATAGGTAACATATTGATATCAAAATTAACCCTCAAGTTACGGAACTATAAGTATTTTGAGTGTGAGTAAACAAAGAAAATTGCGACAGAAATCTAACCTATACAAATAGGTTAAGTTTAATTATGTTGTCGCTTCTCTATTACACTGCAAATACAATAAACATATAACGCAGAAAAAACAATATCACTGAAAACATTGTTAACTTAAGCGATAAATTGATATGAAACCTAAAAATATACACAATTTTTAACAGCTGTGACTATTTTCTATTTCTATCTTTATTTTTCGATTAATTTTCATAAAGCACATATTTTAAGAGTTGAATTTAATACTTACATTCAGTGTAATAAAGGGCGAACAATAAAATAAACGCGATCTTCATTTTGTCAAGAATACGGGTAACGTTTGTGTTTCAAGACCAACTATTTAGTATTGAGAACCGCCTGGTAAATGTGTTCGGCAAACTCGTAGCTCACCGTCGGGTCACGTCATATTTTGCCTCACTCTGACCTTTGTTAGTTAACCTCGAACGATAACTTGAGCTGACGAGAGTGGACCGAGATTAAGATTGTTTATTGTAAGAATTATTTACTTGGAAATCGTATTTGATAAGCACAATAATCTAATTTGTATTTTAAAACATTTAGAAGAAACATTCTGTTATTTATAGCGCTCATATAATTTTTCCCTTAGGTCTGATACCTTTTTAAAACTGAACTGATTATGTTTAATCGAAATACGAACAAAGAAAAATGATGCAAGCATAAGTAGGTACCTTATTTGTATTGGTGTGTCATTCTGTGTTGTTGAATTATTTAAATAGAATAGGAAACAAACCCACATATAAAAGTTTAAACAATGGCCGGCGGGTTTTTTATTAGTATGTGGACATAGAAAAGTTAGTCTACTCTAATTCTCTACACTAGAATACTAAAAGTGGATATTAAACCATAGAAATATACCTAATATACGTAGCGTTCATTCAACAAGAAATATTTGTAATGTCATCATGAATGGAAATCTGCATAGTAATATCGATCTATAGTTTCTTGTGCGACACTAAATCAGTTCAATCGTTGGTTCCGATGCATTATACATAGAGTAAGATACGATTTTCCCGGCGTACGAACATCTCGGTAGCTCGGCGGCTCTCAGCACGCAAGTTTTGCATTACACGCGCGCGCTCGCCTGCAACCGTCCGCTTCTGATGTCTCTTTTCAAATAACTTTCTTTTTGTACTTATCGACATTTCGCAACGCTTCAACTAAAACATTAGGATAAATTACGATAACATTTCATAAAGAAAATGGTATCACATTCCAACTCTTCCTTCATATAAACTGAACACAACCTGTCTAAATATTTAGAGTGAATAGGGCTGACACATCGGCAATAACATTGACACATGAATCTAGACGAACGGACGTATACGTATGTTATTTAATACAATGGGCAGTACATGGGAATGTGTCAATTCCATCGTAGTACAATAACTGTCTCATACATTACAACATCGACAAACAATCACATCAGCAAATATAAACAAACCTAACAGGACCAGTGGATTCATACAGTCATTTAAAACGTACGTGCTATACGGGACGGAGTGATTGATTTGTGTCTACAGATATATGCATACACCGTACGTGTGAGTCCTTAACGAGGGACCGAGGTCATTGTTGTTTACCAAGGTTTACTAACAACTGGCATTGATTATGCCGAACGATCCTCGCTTCTAAAACTGGAAATCCGCGAATTGAATCTCGACAACATGCCGTATCTATAGAGATATATGCGGCTGGAAATGACGTCACCCTGAGGTCGCTTCGTATCGTAGTTGGCGCGAGCGCAGAGATCACTAGTGTGTCGCGGCTGTGATAGAACTAACGTCCTAGCCACTAAGGGAACATGAGAATAACACTGGTTCTTCTTCTGTGTGTGGCGGCTTGCCACGCCGATGATTTGGCTCATGCCGCCGGCCAGATCTTCTCGAATATTCTCCCGAACCTTATCAGTAATTCGGTAACAGGCCAGCAGGGGAACACGGCGACCAATACGCTGCAGCAGATCGGCACCGTCGTCGGTGGTGTTGTCGACTATGCCAAGAAGAAGAGTTATGAAGATATGCTACGTCAGGTGCAGGACTCTACCACCGACGAAGATATCTTAAAACTAAGCGAGGAGATGTTCAATGCAGACATAAACAATGCCCTCAACTACATACAAGTTAACTTGCAAGGAAAAACAAGCCCCCTCTCCAAAAACGACGAGGCCCAATCAAAGTAAGATGTTTATGTTTCTTCAAGGTCTTTTTGCTTAAAAAAATGCTTATGCTTCACCAAACGAAATATTTTTTAGAAATGTTAATCGTGGATTTATTTATTTCTGATACTTAAAAACAAAGTTAATTTCGACAAAGTTACATAACTACGAGTACGGAGATTGAAATATTTATATGGGAGAGTAAAAAAAGAAACGTTTATATACAATTAAAAACTTGTTTTGCAGCTTATTAAATGTACCAGAGAACGTGTGGAACGGCCCAACAATCCGACCTTTCGTTGCTCTTTTCGACAATTATCATAAGAATGTCATAAGGCCAGAGTTCGTTACACCAAACGTAAGTTATCTTTTCAAAACATATCCTATATGAAGTAACGTACCTATTTGCCAGTAAATTAGCGCTTTAGTGATACTAATAGGAATGGTCTCTCCGAATGAGGGGATCGAATTTCGTGGAGCATGACATCATTGAAATCAAGTATTTTCCTCACTTTGTCTCAGTGAATCGTTTATGTTATACCTCTACTTGATGTAATACGAGTGAGCAAATTCTTCCTTGCTATTAGATAACTACACAAATCACGAAAAGCATGTAAATCTAGTCAGTCTGTGGATCCTGTCCATTAATAAAACATCCGCTGCAGCGGTTACACTTAGAAGATAAAACCGGCAAAACAAGAAACCATAAAAATAACATTTATATTTTATTCCAGTTCTTGTACATTCAAAGAACTATTATCGTTTTTCAATTTATTAGGATTAAAGGCAACATTACGAATAGGTAGTCAATAGAACTGGTATTCAGGCGCCTCTCGAAGGCACCTGATCTCTTCCCTTAGGGCTGTCACTAAGTATAATATTTTCACATCAGACGGAATAATATCTTTATTCCTCAAATATACGTTTCCACAAAGGTTGTTATTCTTCGAAGAGGAACACAATAACTCAATAACCACTTAAGTAGCATGAACAAGTTGAGTGACAGCAACAAAGGGGATCTATTTCAGGTTGATCGCAAACTGTGAAATTTTAAATAAGCTTCGACTTTGCGCTAACACGGTTTCAAAGTACTAAGTCCTAATTCAGACCCTTAAGTTATTCTTAAGACGAGCTGTTAATGGGGAAATAAAATATCTGCTTATACGTGCTACTGGGTTTTTTTGCTGTTGTTAATGTAAGTTATGTTTAATTTCCAGGAGGAGTCAGAACAAACTACATATATTAACACAATCTTGGCCACTGGTCCCATAAGGAGTTTGATGACATTTTTGGTTAACAAAGGTAATTATTTTTTACGATGTAGCATTGAAAAAGACTGATGAAGCCAAAACAACTAAGGAAACTGAAGTGTTCGTTATTTGTATTTTTTTCTAGGCCTGGCCCAACTCAATGAATACAATGAGCAAGTGGAGTTATTGAAAAAGATCTGGTTTACAAAGTACGCGCGTCACTGGACCGGCCTCTGCAAGTGTAGTTGTGCTTTCGAAAACATCTTCATGGCTGAATTGAAATCAAATGAAGTTCTCGGTAAGACAAATGGTTTAGTATTTTCTTAATAAAGTTGAAGAAAACTAAAGAAAAACACGAAGAACAGTTATTTAATTTTGTTTCTTATTTCCAGGCCTTCACAGTTGGCTATTCTTCGCGAAACGAGAGATGGACCGCAAAGCCAATTATCTTGGATATATTGACAAGCTGGATTTGTCCGGAGTGAGTAATTCAGATATCTGCTAATATAAATTAAACTTATCATCATTATTTGTCATATTTACATTATCCAAAGAAAAGATTAAGACATGTTTGAAATCAATTATTTTTGAAAAGGGCTGCAACTTAACGACAACTACTATAACCCTTTTTTTTCATTTGACAGATTAATTTAAGTACTTGAAGCAGTCACCACTATTTACATATTACTTTTACATTTCACAGAAAGGATTTATTCTGAAGCAGCATTCGATCTTAAGTGAGACGAAAGACGCACCAGAGATCACGATGTTTGTGGGCACATCCCCCGAGCTGGAGACCGCGCTCTACACGTTGTGCTTCATGGCGCGGCCTGACAGACCGTGCAAGCTGGCATACAACAATGTACACTTTACCATTCAGACTAAAACACTCAAAGCAGATAATGTACTCCTCATTGACACCGCTTACCCGACCTATTAAGTTGTAAGCAAACCAAAAATAGTTGTAGAAGAGATTATGTCGAGATTTTTTATTTATGATTTTTAACTCACATGTGACTTTTAGTAAAGAATAAACGATTTTTCTAACATATTTTGTATTTGTTTTAAATTGCATACTTCTAAATACAGAGTTGACTAAACTGAAATAAATTAAAGGTATCATGTACTCGTAATTAAGACAAATATGATTTTAAAGTTTCGTGCTAAAATCGTTATTAGATATGCGGGTCAAAGTTTATTTGATTATGAAAGATACGACAGGAATCGACAAAGTATGAAGCAAATAGGTTATCATAATGCCAACCAATTGCGATAAAAACCGAACAACAAACAGATTAGCATTATTTCGAATAAAACAATTTAATGATGCTATCGATTTATTTAAAACATTTTCATATATGTAACAGTAAATTAACAAAAAATATCGTAAATAAAAATAAATCGTATCAAAATATTGGAAAATTATTCGTTATTTCAATACTTTGATAAGTTTTCTTATAAGATTAATTATTTTACAGATCAAAAATTCTTATTTTAATCTTACTGATATGGCGAAAACAAATTTATTATATAACCTATGTATACAGTTATTACTCGGATTATGTATTAATGTAAATCTTTATTCAATATCTTGCACTATAAAATGTTAATTCATATCCTAATTTAATTTATAAAACTAGAAATCAGTTTTAATTTTTGGCTCCCTAATTTTCTACATGGTTTAGGCAAGATTGGCATATTGCGTAATAAACAGCGGTTTATTCCTGTTTGGTGAAATAATTGTAACATTTTTTTAAATATAAAAACATTAGTATATTTTTGGTAGTTTACTAACATTTTCTTTAACCATTACAACTAAGCTTTAGGGCTTGTGCAAGGATATGGTTTACGACAATAATCTAATGGCGGGATTTGGCCTCTTGACTGCAAAATCGGTAGTCCGTACCCAAAACCATTAGACTACTGACGCTTAAACATTGATCTTACAATTTTTACGACATAAATGTTTTTATTATGTTTTCATTTGCACCTATTTTTTTATTAAAATTAAAAATATTACACATGTAGTTTTGGAACATCTTTAAAAACATCGATTCATGTAAAGAAAGTATAGTTAACTATAAAACTACGAACTATAAGTCTACAAAAAAAATGTTTTAACTACTTTAGTTATAAAACATCTAAATAATATGTTGGCGTTATGTAAAATACTTCGGACTAGAAAAGTATGAGCATAATTTTAACTTCGTATCAAAAGTTTGTTTAGGAATATTTAATGGCACATTAAATGACACACTTTTATGACTACTATATTATGGTATCACTACAAATTAGAAGCAATGATAAAGTTTAAATGGTTTATATACAACCAAAGCATAATTCCCATTAGATTTTAATATAATTGAAGACATACGGTTTAGATTTTTTATATCTATACTAATTATTGGTAATATTTGAAAGTATACAAATTGAACACTACATTAACGACAGATCTAATTCAGTCAATAATAATTAGTCAAATACATAAAATAATGTACTTCTTGCTTGTTATGACGTTATTTATAAATACATATCTCAGAAATAAGTTTTATTTGATTTTTTTTGACATTACTTACATTCAATAAGACAGTATTCAATCGTTGGAATAGTAATTGCTTACATTGTATATTAAAATAAAAAAATACTGCAAAATATACTGTTAGTATGAGGCAATATACTGTTATAAGCTTAACTAATCTCAATATGAAACAAATTATAATCTTAAAAATACAGGTTGTTAACAATCAAATTATGACATTTTAACAAATTTCTTTAACCCTTAAATGCGCACTTTTGCATTAATACGATACACAATATAAATTTAAAAGCTAATTTTTTATCTTGTATTATAATACCAATCTTGCATTAAATGTTTTTAAAGATTTAAAATCACGCATTTTAGGGTTAAAAAGATCGATATTAGAAATAAAAAGCCTATATTTATACGAAATAAGATCCATATTCGTGTGGCATGACGCCTCGCCTGGGGTAGAATGTGTGCGTCAGCGAATAGTTGAGAAGATTCCTTATATTAGACGTATAAATATCAGCAAATCTGAACAAACGCCTAGAGAAATAGGTCGGATTGTGGTACGTGCGGAACACGCTGCCGAACTGCTTGTTGAATACTGACTTTGTATCGTTCCTGAGAAATAAAAAACTACATTTTTTTAAATCACACTATAAGTATATATAATAGCAAATTCAAATCAAGCCAACATGTATCAATACATATTATAAAAAAAGTTTAAAAAACTAACATTTTTAAAGTTTTTGTTTAAAAAAAAACATTGATACTACAACATTCTACAGATAAAACAAAAAAGATAAAATCACTCCACAGATCTAATAACAAGAGAAAAAAGTTGTAACAGATATACGCACTGTTTTTGTTGGGCGATGCTTTGTAACAAGAAAATCATCAGTCAGTTACGATATAATCGAGATTTAACAAAACATTGGTAATATACTGTTGTTCTATATTAAACAATAAATATTATTATCAAAAGAGGCTACTCTGAGTTTGTAAAACAATTTTAAAAATCTTAACAATAAATAAAAATACGATTTTTTTTGAAAAATCAACAGTTTTTGCAAAACTAAATCGGAAAATTTAAACTAAATTTTGCTTTCTATAAAATACTTTAGTTCTCATGCAATTTTTTCGAATTCAATATCATCATAGGGGACACCCCTGCCTAATCCTACTCCCGTAAGGTCGGCGCATCGGGTTTTCGTCCTCAAAATAACTATCATCCGTCATCTCAATCATAATTCCCTTTCTGATCACCTTTCACGCAAACCATCTATCTCTTTGTAGGTCTACCTCTACCGGTGTACCCCTCCACATTCATAACTAACGTCGTTCTTTTTACATGTGATTCAAATTTATTAATGCTAAAATTCATTAGAAGTTTCTTGTAATTAAAAAATAGTTGAATTGATTATCTCTTTGTTCTGTGAAGTTTGGTCAAAAAGAGTAGTGTGGTGCGGGCGGTACCTGAGGCGGTCGCGCTCGGCGGCCCAGTGCGCGAGCACGGCGACTGCGTCGGGCTGGCGGTGGTCCTGGTGGTCCTCGATGATCTGCGTCAACATCTGCAGCCAGTTCGCGTTCTCCTTGAACGACTGCGTGTTCAGCGTCTTTATTTCGTGCTGGAAAGTCAAAAACGGTTTGTGAAGTTATAATTTTTTTTTTCGTAAACAGATATAACTAGATTTTGAAAAAGGAATAAATATGGTTTCTAAGACATGAAATGAACAAAATTAATAAATACTTTTTTTATAATAAAAAAAGCACATTTGTGTTTTGGCTAATTAATTAATTTAATTATAGTCAATAATCTATTGCTTGTTTTCAATATTTTCAATATTAACGAGACACCAAAAATACCCATGATTAATTTTATAGATAATATAAGACACTAGTTTTCGCCCGTGACTTCGCGTGCCATTCTGTGGATACATAGTAACAAACATCTGTCATGTAAATTTTCGCATTAACAACATTAGTAATATTTACTGTGAGTTCGTTGATGATGGCGCCGGTGCGCCAGCCGTGCTCCAGCGTGACGTCGGCGAGGTCGCTGTAGGGGTGGTCGCCGAAGTACAGCACCTGCTGGCCGCGCCACCCCGTCAGCTCCTGCAGCTGCTTCACCGTGCCCTGCACAAAACATACTGCCAACTTTGGTGTCTAAGATCGCGCCCTTTTCACTAAACTATCGCACAACTGTTTAGTCGCTTTGATTCCTATGACCTTATAGTATAAGGTGCGCACACTACTCCACTTTAGATGTTTATGGTAGTTGAATCGAATATCGACAGTCGCACTACTGTGGTGCGATAGCTTAGAAAAAAGGCTTTTTTTATATATATAACATAAGGTGGCAAACGAGCAAGCGACCACCTAAAACCGCCAAAATGGCGAAGCGACCGCTGCCCATAAACATCCGCAATTGCAGATGCGTTGCCTACCCTAATACGACGGAGGAGACGCACATAGAGAGGATATTTCCCCTTCCTACGCATCTCCTCCACCGTAAAATCCACATCCTCTTCCCAACCACTCCTTATAAGAAAAGGGTGGTAAAGAGAAAGGGACTTAAATTAGGCTTCCGGCACCACACTCATCAGACGAAACACAGAATTGCTCCCTTTTCACGGCTGTCTTCTGTGTGGTCGTGGTATTACTGGGGGCGTGCCGGCCCTGCAGTGCTAAGATGTTAGAGCGGGCACTACCACTGTTAAATATATTACTATTTTCGTAATAAATAAAAATTTAATGGCGTCAGTGAGTCCATACAATTAACAACTGGCCGTCGCAACTAACCAACTGTTCTAGCCAAGTGTAAACCGGGCATTACACTGACCTCGTAATAAATAATGCCCTTTTCCAGTGACGTAACTTTCTCCCAAATATGAGTGTTGGCGTTTTTGTCAAAAACACGTATCGGCCGCGACACCTCCGTGAAGAACTTGGGCTTGTTCGCGTTTACTATCACAACGTCGAAGTACTCCCTCCAATCTGAACCCACTAACATCTCCATGCCCGCGTTACTGCAACAAATATGGTTCTAATGATATATGAAAACAGTTTTATATTAAAAAAAAAAACATATTACATGCAAAACACAATATCACACCAAAACCAGAATAAATCATGCATTTGCTAAATGATTTAATATTTAATGATTAAATAAAAATCAGAGATATAGTTTACATCAAAATTAACTAAAACATACTTTTTTAACATTTGAAACGAGTATTGTTTTTTGTTATGTAAGGTTTACATTTGAAAATTACAGTATTTTTCATCATGCAAAATTTCTTGCAACAATGTCAATATTGTTACAACGCTTAAAAATAGCGACACACACAAAACAAAGATATTCTTACACAAAATGATATGGACTGTTTGTTACAAGGAACAATTTTTTATCATGGTCCCTTAGGAGTTGAAAATATCTTTTTAAATCTGAATTCGGCCGAATGTACTCATCCACATTCTGAGCGACAATCTTATGCATTATCGGATGACAGCTTTGCACAGAATTCTGAAAATAAGTTACAAATCCACTTAAAAAACTTCTTTTATTCTATTCTAATACCAAAACATAGCATTAATTAACAACAACTTGAATAATAATTATTTTTAGTACCTTAACATCCAAAAAGAGGATCTCAGGATGATAATCTATATGATTCTTGATAAAATATTCAGCAACATTACAAAGCAATCCCATTTCTGGTACGGAAAACAGATCTGCCAAATGCACCATCTTTGCTCGATTGCCCTGGAAATTAAAAGAAATAATTTTAAAATAACCCAAAATAAAATGGAAGACAGAAAAAAAAACTTTTCTGATCTTCAGTAAAAGTTTAAAAATGGACAGACAAGAATCATTAGCCTTCAAATACAAAAAGAGATATCCAAATCAATTCATCAAAGGAGCAGTTCTGAGAACACCAAAAATGTATACACAAATTGAGAATGTCTACCTTTTTTGAAATTGGTTAAATAAAACTCTCTACACCTTTACTATTATTGATTCTAATAATAACATTGGCAGAAATACTTTAAAATCACGATTAAATAAGAATTGGATAATTATAAAATATCAAACTATGAAACTAGACATATCTCATATTGCAATGTGACATGGTCACCCTACAGTAGACAAACAAATGTTATCCATTATTTAGCTATACCATATCATGCCATATAGACCTTGTGTCACAATGAAAAGGGGGAATGATTGCATACAAGTGCCTTTGATTGCTTGCAACACACAATATAATACATATGTCTACAAATGGCACCATGTTTGTAAATAAAACTATAGTATATTAGAAAGATCATTCCATTGCTCAATTGCACTTTTAATTTGTTTTATATGCTGTATTTTTAAAAACAAATTGGCTGACAAATGACTACTCAAAATGACTAAAAAAGTGAATTAATTACCTACAAACAACTGGAATAACTTAAAAGGCTGATGCTTTTAAAGGACAAGGAGAGGATTTACATAAAAACATTTCCTTTTTGTACACATTGTTTGTTCCTGTAAATCCTGTTATCTAACATTTTTCTTGTAGAAAATAAAATTACTTACTTTATGTGCTCTATTGTCACCCTCAACATATGCAATTGGTATTATTCTGTTCTTGTATATTTTAAGCACTTCCTCAGTTGATACGGGAGTTAGTCCTCTATAAACAGCACCAAATTGAATTTGTAGAAATGAATCTAATTTCAAAAGAAGACCTTTTTCTATGTCATAATGCAATCCTCTCACAGCAAAATGTGGTTTGTATTCCAATTTTGAAATTTCAGCTGGGTACTGTAATTCAAAATATACATATTAAATATTTAACAAGATTGCTTTATAATTTAACTTTTCCACTCAAATGTTATAAGTATGTGTAAAATTAAAAAATTAAAACTATTAACAGACGTTAAAGGGAGAAGTTAATGAAAAAAAAAACAATTGAATGACGAAAGTGATAAAGAAAAAGTCAATCAATTTTTATTACCAGCCAGTTACTTGAATACATCTAGCCAGTAATTTACGCAAACCTAAGAGTTTTCACATTAATTCTGATAAGAATATAAAAAAGAAAACAGACCTTATATTTTTCTAAAAGCATATTCCTTCCGAGGTTGTATAGTAAATGTTCTAAAGATGGTTTGTAATGAGCCAGAGTATAATCATAATCGAATCCATACACTTTAACTTCTGATAAATCTAATTCATTACACGCAAAAACACCTTTAGGGTTGACATCTTGAGGCAGTTTTTTTGCTGGAAACAATAAAATAGTTTTTTAACTTGAATAAGCTATAAGACAAAAATCATTTTTTTTTACTTACATTTACACTTTAACTTAGTCCGAGAATAAACATCGTTAAGATATTCTCGCGAGGAATAGTTTCTAAATATATTAAAGTATAGTTTGACTTTATTTTGAGACATTTTTTTATGAACAGTACCTCTAAACAAGGTATACATTGAATTCATTTTGTCTTTGAAAATTATACAGAAATTTAAATCTATTGATTACGGTGGTATGTATTACGATATAAGACTACAAATTATGAATTATTTTAATAAACTAGTAAAACTAAAAACACCATAAAAATAAATTTCACATTGCATAATTTTCGTTACGATAATGTTCGATAATCGTTAACACTCGCAACACGTGCGAACGTCTCGTTCGATTTTCGAGTTTTGACTTTTGATTTGACAGATTTCAAATTCTCATCTAGTTGGCATCCAGTGTTACTAGTTAATAATACAAGTTTTCTACAAATAAAATAAACAAAACAGCACTAATATCGCTATGACGTGGTAGCATCACGGCTTTACAAACAATAAAGAATTTTTAAAACATGGAAGGCAAAATTGTCGCTTACACAAGCAATTTCCAAATTCTCCTTTCCTTAATTTGTCTTTATGATGTTATTTACTACTCTCTAAGGGTACTTTCACTTAGCAGATATGTGCAGGTTGCATCATGATATTTTCCTTTACGTTAAAGCGTTGGATACATGAATAAATGATGACATTCGAAAATAAATAGACATAATTTTATAAAGCGGGGATTGAACCCGAACCTAAAGATTACATGTTCGGTTCGATCCTTTACAGTTATAAATCTGATACTAGTATTTTAAAGGTTGTGGCCGCTTGGATACTTCATCTAAATACTAGACATAGAGATTTCAATTGATGTTTTAAAATAGGTTAAATAATAAGAAGTAAAGCAGTTCGAATTATTTATTGAATGGTTACAAAAGATTACTTTATCAAAGTTTGTGGTTTACTAATTGCCATGGATTTTAACTTGCTACGCAATTTATAGGAATAAAGTTTAAGTGAGGGCAAGTTTTTAAATCTGAGGGAAGGCACTGCCTATGTAATTTTTGCTCCTATATCTAAAGTTATGTGTGAGTATGTTGACATCTTTGTTGGCGAGCTTCAGTCTGCAATCGTCTCCCTCGCGAGTGACGAAACAAAGAGTGTAGAGCGCAATCTCCAGTTCTGGTGAAGTGCCGATGAACATTGAATCTACTGGCTTGTCAACCCCTTGTTGGTTAAAATGTAATTTGATAACGACTCCTTTCTGAAATAGTTAAATGATATAGTCATAATTCAGTTTAGAATAATAAAATCATTTAAGAAAAAAAAATGTAAGTCTTATGCTTAAAGGTTTTGCTTGATTTTTTTAAGAATATATGTGTATGTCACGTACACCGGAATATCGTAAGAGCAGCCACTAGCTCTAAAAATAATGTTTACTTGTCCATGTGTCATAGATGGATAGAACAAGTTATTTTTAAAATGAGATCCGCTAATACCGATAATAATACAATAGACGATTTTGAATTTGCAAATACAATAGTTATAGCTTGACATTATAATACAATGGCTGCAGTTTTTTTTTTCTTTTTGTATAAGTTGGACAGTTATTCTAAAAATGGTCTTTGACCTCCCTTGCGGTATATCTCCGATATTATTAACGCATCAACAGATTACATCAATTTGTACCGCCTATGTACTAATTACTGATGTTAATTGTGAGCAAGAAGCAATGACCTTAGGTTTTATACTTCAATTCTACGATTTAATACTTACATCGTTTAGCTGAACGTATTTCAAATATCCTAAGTAATTTACTCGATTTGCGGACTCTTCTTTCGAAAAGTATATCCAATTGTGTAAACCTGAGAATGTAAAATAAAAATATTTTAATGCTACAAACTCAAAATGAATCATCGTCAGTAAACTATGAAAACAATTTGAAATGTTGAAAACAATTGAATAGATTCGATAGCCAAAGCAAACTTTTTGTTTGTACCTGATACTTCGCCATTTTTCAGCTCGGACACAAAAACATGTTCAAATCCCGAACTGCTGATCTTCCCTTTTCCTCTTGAATATAAGCCAAACCATAGTTGTTTTAGGAAGTCCCGCTGTTTCGCCGGATCGGGAGGAACTTTACCTAAAAAAACGAATCATTTTTAAACTCTTTTATTATCCCTGTATATTAGTTAGTTCACGTATTATTTTCGGTAAAATATTCGGAATAAGGTGAATACAAAAATTACAAGAGACGTGAAAACATGTTATTAACAACTTATGAGATTACCTTTTTCCTTGAGGAAATTCATTAAATGTCGGATAACACTTGTAGACATGATGGCATCCATAAATGCATTTTCTTCTGTTCTCTCCTGGAATGGATTTTTAGTTTTGTATACTAAGTTCTTATCAGTCAATCAATGAAATGTCATACAATTATACACACCGAATTTAACATTTCTATTTTGCCTTCTATTGTCCCCGAAATTATGCAAATAACCCTAATATCAAATATACACTACTTGAGAGATTAACATTCAGCTTTTGTTAATGTAGAATGTAGTAATAGTTATAAAAATGTTTTGATTTAAGAATATTTGTTTGTTTAGAAATACTTAATTTGTCGCACCTGTGACGTTACATATTCGTTAACCAACGTATCTCTTTCGTAATTATCCAAAAGTGGCAAAAACTTTTGAATAGTTGGAATATTCCAAACATCGGATGCTATGTTGAGTAATCTGCAAACAAGGAAAAAATTCCGATATCACATTGTAAACAATTGCTTAACATTCTCTTTATAACAAACGGCGAATTCCAAATTCAGTCCTATAAGGTCATATCAATGACAACGTTGGGATTTAATGGGCAGCATTCATATGCATTCATAACCAACTTCTCAATATTATTTTAGCTATTAGGTATTACTGATACGGACTTAAATATGGAACGTATAAGAATTACCGGCTATTCTCATATAAAGATTTTTGTCGTGTTACTTTTGTTCCTATTAGGATCTACGTTTACACGTATGAGCGAGTAATATACATAACTACTTGTCAAATACGAAGTAATACCACGTTAACATTTTTTTTTTCATATGCGAATACTTTCTATTAAATAGTACGCAGTTTTTATAGATTAAGAACGTACTGATGTAAGTAAACGTGACAGTATGCAATAATTTCCAAAGAAATTGTACGTGTTGTTTGTTAAGTTTGCTTGTTTTTGTGCTGTTTGTTTTGTTAAAAAATGATACTCACGGTTGCGAAGCTTTATCTTCTTTGGAACTTGAGGAGGTTTTCTCTTGAAAATTGATTGTAACGTATCTCGCTGCATTATTCGTATCTTTTTTTAATAATTCTTCGCTAATGGCTTGTAATTCGGCGTCGGTGGCGATATTAGAAGCGCTGCTGCCTTGGTTTTTGTTGTTTAATATTGTACTTGGTAGCACGGGTACTGTTGCCGCTGTATTTTTACCACTATTTGGAACTGTTGGTTTGTGAACAGGGGGCGTGGTTGGTGGACTAGTTGGTAGTTTTGTTGTCCCGCCAACAACGGAGCTGAAACTTGGTATCTTTGGTGTTAGAGATGGCTTAACTGTTGTCCCAATACTAGATCCTTGCAAAATAGAGCTGTAACTCGGTTTTCGAGCATTATTATTGTTGTTGTTGTTAAAGTTATCATAGTAATTTATAAGATCCTTAACGTTTCCTGTTGGTCTATTGTTATCTTGAGGTGGTTTCAAGGTTGGGAACTGTGGGGCGACGTAATCTCTTTTTGGTGATGATGGTGGTTTGACTGCAGGTCCTGATTGAATAGCTGGACTTGGTGTTACCTTATGTTGAGGTGATGTTGTTTTGTGGTCATGTTTTGTTGTTGGCAGTTGCGGTGCAACATAATCCCTCTTTGGTGATTGGGGTTTTGGTGTCGTTCCAGTTACAATATTCAAGCCTTGTGTGGTTCTTGTTTGTTGTAGTGTTGTTGAAGACGGTTTTAGAGATGGATACTCCGCTGAATAATCTCGTTTTGGTGCACTAGTTATTCCTCCAGCTTCATGAAGTAAAAAATCTATATTGGTATTATAGCGTTGCACTTTGCCGATACCTTCAAGGAAAAAAGTGATAAATTTGTAGCTAATTTATATGCATAACTTAAAAGATTTTAATATCACAGTAGCAGAAGTTCATCTTGGAGTAAAAAGAAACAGGTTTGGTTCCTGTTTTGCATTTGTTAAAACTTCTCGATCTTTCAGATAGATGGTAAAATAACCACTATTTATTAAGTTGGTCGTTAGACTGCCTTAATACTTTGACTTCGTTGTATATCGTTATTCTTAGGAAACTTAGACCCTACTCTACGAGCCAAGAACCCAAGTATTCGGACTTAAGTCTGCGTTGATTTACCACTAAGCTAATAGGAATGTGAAAAATTTAAACTAAATACGCACAAAGACTAATGATATTCTACAGAAAACATTATTTATCACTGTTTAGATAATATATTCTTGACCTGTTTCACTCTTCTAATCTTAACAAACAGTATCAATAAAATTTAAAACTTACTTATTCCACATTGTAAAATAAATAAAGTTGATATAAATAAAACTCGTACTCTTGAATCCATTATAAAAGGAAAAACTTAGTGTAATCACTTCAACTCAATAAAAGATCACTGTTTACATTTCAATATTCGGTTAATCGTGATGAACTCCCGTTATAGTTACCTTCTTACGACTAAATTGTTAAAACTAAGTTACTAAACTGATCTTGACTAGATATTACAAAAACGACCGTACTTTGTGAACAGATTGAATGGAATGGAGTGAAGATGAAATGACGAAAACAACATCCGAGAATGAGATCGTAAGTAACTCGTTCAATAAACATTTACAAAGCATAGTGAGACCATGCGCTTACGTCACCGCTGCTCTCACTCGCGGATCGTGGAGTCACGGCCGTAATTTTATTAGTTTGGCTAGGCTAGGTCATAGCTGCTCTAACGCTCGCTCTTACATCAATCTGAAACAAGATAGAATGTGAAATATATGTAATACTTATTTTTATAAATAAAAAGTATTACGCAACTTGTAGTAGTACGACCCTGTAGGTGTTTTTGGGGACGATAGGCTTTAGCATAGCAATTCCAAAAATTAGGAAACATCCCCATTGGCAGCAGACCTTGTTATTAATAGTAACTCAAAATAGGAATACGACTGTTTTTAAGTATATAATAATATACTAAGCTTTCCATGGGGTAGACCAAGAATAGCTAGTTATTTAACTACAGCGATGGCTCGCGATGGCTCAAGGTCTTCCAGGCAACGAGTAGGGTAAAATGGCCCAAAATGATGGGATTGGGGGAAGGGACGATGATTGGATGTACTTCAAAATACACATTTGACATGTCTTTCTTTTGTCTTCTGCAGAATGCAATTTATAGTAAAGTACTCATTCGAATACTTCTTGAAAATTACTTGAGACTTTTCAAATTGAATTTATTTCCTAGATAAATCTTATCGCAGTAATTGAAATTAGATGTAAGTGTGACGAAGTAAATTATGAGATAATCGATTAACATTTTGAAAAACCAATTCCTTCATACTAAGAACTATTTCAAGCATTTCTACCATTAGAGTAGAAGATTAAACTGGCCACACATTCCAATATTTTTGAATTTGACTTTTGACTTAACTTTGACACTTGATAGGAAAGTTTGATTGAATTGAAGTGACAATAATGTTGTTGATGTGAATCGCCGGTAAAATTGAATTACAATGCTATTAACAAGGAACTGAACAATAAAAAACAAAGGGAATTAACAATGAAAACTGCATTAAATACTGTAGAAATATACACTTGTTTTTGTGTATGGACAAGTGCAAATTTATATTCTTTGTTTAAGTTAATCGAGGCTCAATCAGGTAAATATTACATTTAAATTGTATTTAAATATTTAAAGCTTTGATACTAAATAGGTTGTCATTTGTTATCTTACAGAAGTAATTAAAGGGACTAGCGGAGGTATACTTACAATCAGAGATCTCCGACCAGGTTGGAGTTTTATTCAAAGACACAGAGATGTCTCAGATGTTGAATGGAATAGCTGGAAATATTTTATTTATTCGTCATTGGGTTACATGATGTTCCAGTTTATTATATCGGAAGTAATACGTAGATTATCATTACCCATGTTAAAATACTGGTACATTCTGTCAAGTACAATATTCATTGTTTATAAAATGGGAGTCCGACAAATGGTTGTAGTTTTAATACAACCAATATTATATGGTGCTATAATATATATAGGGGGTAATAAACAATGCATTTGGTTCATCAGTTTATTGCTTCTTGGAGGTTACAATTCCTTAAAGTATAAACAATTTTTTTGGAATTACCTGGAACATGAGGAAATACAAGATGAAGAAATTTACCTCATATTATTTAGTGTGGCATGGATTGAATTGAGATGCATTAGTTATTGTATAGATTATATAGAGAGGAGAGACAAGGATGAGATATATAGAATCTCCTTTTGGTATGACATAATAAATATGTTAAGTTACATATTATATTTACCACTTTTGTACACGGGACCTGTTATACTTTATGCAGAATTTGAAAAGAGTCTAAACATCAAGGGTGGACCTCTATGGTTAAGACTGAAACAATTTTTTTGTGATATGCTTGTATACAAACTGTATACATTTATTTTAGATTTTGCATTACATTATATTTATTTTTTTGCTATGCAAGACAATATGGAGGTATGTTTTTATAATTCAATAAGATACTCTAATGTAAAATAATGTACAAATATATAATTAAAACTATTTTCTTACAGTTGATTAGGAAATTGCCAACCATAGCTTTATGTGGCGGAGGACTTTGGATGGGTTTAGAATTTCATATGAAATATGTAATATCATATGGAACCACTACAGCATTTGCAAAGCTTGACAATATAGAAACTCCTCCAATGCCAAGGTGTATTGTAAGAGTTCATATCTATTCACAAATGTGGAGATACTTTGATGTTGGACTTTATCGCTTCCTAGTAAAGTAAGTTGTATAAATAAATATTTTATTTACCCTTCCATGGACAACTTGTAACATATTTTATAATATAAATGGGTATTAGATAGCATGCAATGTTGCTAGTTTGTAAAAATTGTGCATTGAACATGTAATTCTGGGAAAATTTTATTTATGGTCACATTTAATTAATAAATTAATATTGTTCACAGATACATTTACAAGCCTGGGCTCGCTATAATTTCAAAATCAATAAAACTACCAAAAATAGTGTATAAACTGCTTGCCTCACTTGCCACTTTTGTGTTTATATTTATGTGGCATGGGACAATCCAGCATATATTTGTTTGGTCAATATTAAATTATATAGGTATTACATTAGAACATATAGGTAAAGAATTGTCAAAACATGAAAAGTACAACTGGTTTAAGACAAATGTATTAAAGACTGAGAAAATGGAGGCATGCCTTATTGCACTATTATGTACTCCATTGTTAGCACTGTCTGCTATATCTAATTTCTATTTATTCGCTGGATCTGATGTTGGGGATTTATTTTTTGAATGTTTTTTACATCCATCATTGTGGAATTCTTTACTGATTTGTATATCATTATACTGTTGTTGTCATGTTTCTATGGCGTTGGTTGACATGCCATCTAGAAGCGGCAGAAAAACTGTTAAAACATATGACAGTTGTTTATATTAGTATTTTTTACTTCTATTGGATATGACGTAATTATTAATAGTTCCTTTTTATTTTTATCATTGCATTTGAAGTACATACTATTAAATTAAGGTTGTGTTGCTTTACGCTTTTATTGCCTTTATAATTTATTTTGTATACAATAAAGTTATTCTTTATTTTAATGTATTTATTATTTTTTCAATCTGCTCGAAATTTCTCGTGTATGGAAAAAATGCAATTGTGTTATTTATCATAGATTTTTAAGTATCATAAATTGACTATTTTTAACCATGTTCAATATCAATTAGTTTTTATTATCTTTTGCTAATGAGAAAAACTCTTATTTCATTGTGATTTCTAATCATGATATTCTGTGCATTGTGCATAAAATTCAGATAGACCTTTGATTGATAGAAATAATTTAACTCTATTTGTTACTTTTAATACATAGAATTATAGGTGGTAATATCAATAAATAAGCCAAACATTTTTGTGTAACTATAACATTTTATTTTTTACACTTACAATATTTTTTATACATTAAGGCATCTTTAGAATCCATTTCGTGACAAACGAATGGGTGCGCCAGTGTTACATTTAAATGACCATTAAACGTCTCTTAGCGGTGGTGTTACAAAGAGATCAATTGGTAAGTATTGGTAGCTTTGAGTAGTAAATACGAATGTACGTGCATGGCCTCAATAAGTTCACCTGCGTCTCCGGGGACTGCCGCGGCCTTGTGTATTTCTATCATTTCCTTCCTAGTAAATATATCTTTACCTAACTGATGAGATCGCCTTGTTAACGCATCTAAGAATTTCTTCAACTGAAAATATATAATTTATATATATTTAGTAATTTTTTCAATGATATTATTTCCTGGTAATAAATACTTACACATAGCTTACGTAGTTTTGGTAAGGGAATATTTTTTTTTATATTCCCCTTTTGAGTTTGTTACATATGAATTTACAAACCTATCCACCCTCCCTAATAAGAGTGGTTTTGTCAGTTGTCATCGCATATATATTGTAATTCATTAATTTCTGTGTATACTTCATATACTTACTTTACTTCTAGAGCTGATTCCAGAACCGTTTATGGATCTTGAAAGCTCAATGTTTCCGAATTCATCACTGAAAGTGTCCACTAAGCTGTGTTTTATCAAACAGATGACGTCATTCGCGTCGTCTACCGTCGCCTCCTCGCGGAGTTCAGCTCTTGCTCGAGCCTATATATACGAAATAAAACTATCAGGATATTAAAACTTAGAACGAGGAATGGCTTGTTTTTAAATTATCATTACTAATATTAAAGCGAAAGCTTGGATGGATGGATGTTTAAAAGAGTTTATGACTTAGACTGCTGAACGTATATCGATGATTAGGTATAGATGTAGGACATAGTCTGGAAAAACACGTGGGCTATTTTGTTCTTTTTTTTTAAAATCCAGTCAGGATAGTCTGGAAGAACACATATGCTTATTAGTTTTTTTTTTATTTCTACGAGGACAGAGTTGCGACCGAAACTAGTACGTAGTTAATGTAGCATTCGAATGGTAAAGTAATGTCCGTCTCTACTGGTCTTATACTAGTATTTAGGGTTTAGCCTGTAAATACAAGTTTACAGAATAGTAACATACCTGTGTGAGTCGTATACTGGCTTCGAGCTGTCTTGTGGTGACTGGCGCGCCGTCCGCAGTCTGCAGGCGGTGCCTCATCTCCAGGTAGAAGTCGCGCAGCGCGTCCGCCGCCGCAGTACTGATGGCGGGCTGCACGTAACGCCGCGCGTACGCTATATACTTACGGAGCAATACTAGCGGCAGCGGGTCTATCACTTCCCCTGCTTTCAAACGTAGCCTTTTACTGAAATATTGATATTCAACATGTATCTTGTAACTTGAAAACAATAAAGAGGTTTTTGTGTATCTATTTATTTATTTACTAAATTTCACCCGCGACTCCGTCTGCATAAAAAAATAATGAGTAGCCTATGTGTTCTTCCAGACTTCTCTTCACCTATGCCAAATTTTATCGAAATCCGTTCAGCCGTTTAGGCTACAAACTCTAACAAACAACTAAGCTTTCGCATTTATTAAGTATAAGTATTTAATATAAGACCTAATTAGATTTCTATACTCATTTTAATCCCGAAGACAATTTATTTTATACTGTCGTAAATCAAAGATGGCGGCGGATGGAATTTAGATACATTTTGACGCCACCGCCCTATAATGGATATCAAATCAAAGGATTTAAGTAACATATGAAGTAATTACAAATCACAGAAATTACAATACTATACTAAATCAAATAATAATAAAAAAGTACCCTATGTTACTCACTAATAACAGCTTTTTTATGGCGAAAAAATTTAAGAAATACACCTATAAGTTTTTGTGTTATTTCAATATATATAAAAATACAAATGTTTCCTCTTTATAACATCAGTATATATTTGCGAACAAGTCTATTCATTCCTTACGCACAAGTAATATAGCTAAGTTACCTTTTACCTTAGCGATACATCTTGATCATTTTGACTTGCTTCAGTATTAAGATTCGTTTTACTCTTCGATGAGTTTCCTCTACCAGAGTGTCGCGCTAGAACATGTTCTGATAACATCGCATCTATTTTCTAAAAAGAAATAAAACACTGCTATAGGAATAAAAACAAAAATATTAATATTAAAGAGAGAATTTATACACCAACCTCATCTGGTTGATCCAGCAGTATAAACACTAAATCAAATCTTGATAATAACGCCGAGTTTAGTTTCAGATTTTCAGCGACAGTTTTAGCTCTGAAATAGAAAAAAAATGCTGTTATCAGTCGGAAAAGGATCTGAGAATTTTTACTTCATGTTAAATCAAATCTTATTGTAAATTTATTTATTTTTCGTAAATTGTAAAGTTCTTGTCATAGAATTTAGACTTGTATCAATTTAATTTTGTTACAACAATAATCTGTCGTACTTCAATAGCAATAGAATCAATGTTATTTATGCATAAGAATTTAAAAATTTCACAAATATCAGCAATAAAATAAAGTTTTTATTATTTGATGCGGATGAAAGGGCACGGAAATAGCTAGTTTGTATAATAAATGTGGATTTGAGTATGTAAGTTGACGAACAAACTTGTAAGATTCGTGCTGTCTAAGGACAAGGAAGTGCAGTTATGAGTGGGTGCATTAAAAAGGAGGGTGAATCGGTATCTAGCGCGTATCTATCCTTCGACCGCGTCTAATTAGGTGGAATCGTGGTCAAGGGCTGGTTTATTTATGTTAAAAAAAACGACCGACCTCAAATAGAAGGCGAAGATAGAAAAAGTGTGTATGTATGAGACCTGTTGTATGAGCCCGAGGCGGGGTTGGCAGCGGCCAGCAGCGTGGCGCGCGCGGGCAGGCTGCACACCACGCCGCCCTTGGCCACGCTCACGCGCTGCTGCTCCATCGCCTCCAGCAGCCGGCTGTGGTGCGCTCCCATCTACCACACCCCTAATAAACTAGCGGTTCCTCGCCACTTCGTCCCAGTCAAATTAAAACGTAATAAAACATATAGCCTATGTTATGATAAATTACCTTTCTAGTGATCAAAGATTTTTTTAAATCGGCCTATTATTGAAATAACACAAATGGTACTATGGTGTATAAAGCACCAATAGCCTAATGGTTTAGGGTAAGGACTACCGATCTTGCGGTCGAAGGTTTGAATCCTGCCATTCGACTATTGTCGTAAACTATATCCTAGCACAAGCCTAGAACTTTGTAGGAGTGGTTAAAGGAAATATAAGTAAATTTATATTTAAATATTATAGTGAGGTGGTGATGACGATGGGTAAGCATGAGCGAGGATGTGTAAAGATATGTAAGGATGTGTAAGGTTGGATGAAGATGGGTCAGGATGTATGAAGATGTGTGAAGAAGTGTCAAGATGTGTAAGGGTTTTGAAGATGGGTGGGGTGTAGCGTAGTTACCTTATCCAGTTCATCAAGACAGCAGACGCCGCGGTCGGCCAGCACCAGCGCGCCGGCCTCCAGCGCAAAGTCGCCGCCGGGCTCGCGGCCCAGCGACACCGTCAGCCCGCCGCCCGACGCGGAAGCGCCGCACACGTACACGCCTGCAAACACGAAAACACGCAAACACACATTTATATACTTACTAGCTGTTGCCCGTAACTCCGTCCGCGTGATATTAAAAAAAATTGATTAGCCTATGTGTTCTTCCAGACTATCCTCTATATCTATACCAAATTTCATCGAAATCCGTTCAGCGGTTTAGGCTGCAAACTCTAACAAACATCCATCCATCCATCTAAACTTTCGCATTTATGATATTAGTATGAAGTATGATTTATCAATTATCATTTTACATAATACACAAAAGATCATATAATAAGCTTTAAAATCTTATAGCGGTGGGAACAAAGCGCTTTTAACTTATATTTTTCATTCTAAATATGCATTATGACAAGATTTATAGTCATTTCTTAAGATTATGAAGCTAGAAAATTAAGACCTTAAAATTGCATTATTAAGTAAAAGATTTAAATGATGTGGTAATACATAACTGTTAAACTGAACTTATGGTATCCTTCGCGGTTGTAATCCTAAATTCACAAACGCATGGCAAATTCCACGGTTTGACTGCATATTGATTCAACGATAAACCCGGTTCACACTAGGCTAGTACAGTTATGTGAGCCAGTCAAAGATTGTATGAACTCACTGACGCCAGACATATATAATGCCAATTGAATATCAGTCCAGTTTTGAGTGCTACTGACCAACTGGACTGGCCAGATGTAAACAGTGCACAATGATTTTGATCGGAATCTCACCTCGTGGCGCTGCATGCGCCGCAGCCTGCAGCAGCTGGGACTTCCCCAGGCCGGGGTCGCCCACCACCAGCACGTGGGGGTGCGGCCGCGCCCCCGCCCCGCCCTCGCCCTCCCCCTCCGCCCCGCCCAGCAGCCCCAGCACCAGCCCCGCCTTCACCGCCTCGTGACCAAATATCGACGGACATAACGAATGTACCAACAATCTAAATACATCCTCAGATGCGTGGATTTCCTGAAATATTCATTCTAGACTTTAATGTCTTGTGAATTTTATCTTACTATCAAAATACTGGAACAATAACTTTCTATTTCTTTCAATTTTTTTTAAAAAAAAAGAGAAAATGTACAAATGCATGTTTTACTAGTTTTTGCTTGCGACTTCGCGCGAAATTATGTATAGTCCGATAATAAATATAGTTTATGTTAGTCAGTGATAAAGATTTCTAATAGCAATAGATTTTTTTTAAATCGGACCAGTAATTTTTGAAGTTATTCGTTACAAACCAAAACACAAATCTTTTAACATTACTAAAATATGAAACAGGTAAAAACTTTCACATAACTAATCATATTTAAAGATAAAAAATATATGTAATTGACCTGTATAGCATAATAATCTTTCAACGTGAAAGAGAGTGTGGGGTTGCTGAGGTTCCGCTGGCTGTGCACGGAGACTGCCTCCAGGTACAGCTGCAGCAGGCGCGCCGCCCGCCGCCCGTCCTCCCCGCCCTTGCTCTCTCCACGCACCTGCAAATAATCATTAAAAATCTTTAATACTCATTATAATTTTGACAGTCATTAAACATTTGATATTCATTAAAATTATGACATTCATTAAATTTTTGGTATTCATTAAAAAGTTGACATATTTATTAAATTAAACATTTGATATTCATTAAAATTATGACATTCATTAAATTTTTGGTATTCATTAAAAAGTTGACATATTTATTAAAATTTTAATATTAGCTTCTAGTAGTCCGTCTGATTAATACAGAATATTTTTTTAAATACATATGTTATAAATGGGTTTGTATATTTGTCAATTCCTTAATGTCATCCTGTACTTTAAACACTGCATAGATTTCAACAAGTGTGATGTCATTAAATTTGTATACTTCTACCAAATTTTAGTGGTAAAGTAGGTTTTTTCTAATTAACATAATAACATGGTTATACCTGAACAATCCCAGTAACAGAGAGCACATCCCCGGGACACGCTGTTCCAACTAAATCACCCTGTAGTTCTATTTCAACACTTCTTGGTATAGTTCCGGAAACACTCTAAAATTAAATAAAAATTGAATTTCTAAAAGAATGGTCTAAGGATGCTTTCGAAGGATAAATTATGCACCTGAGACTGAATCTCTTGTATTTTAGCGACTTGCCAATCAGTTGTGTTGGTGAAAGGGGACGACTGCAGCGTATCAAACTTGTGTCCACTTTGACAGCTTTGACAGAAGTTTGGAGCTGAAAAGATATATTTATTTAACTTTAAATAAGCAAAGCACCAGTTTGTGAATATAGTTACTATTGCGATATTCCAATTGATGCCAAATGCCAAAAAAATAGTAAGTACATATGAATAAAAAAAAACTAGTGGTCCAAGCATTTCTCCAGACAATCCTGTTCATCTCTGCCAAGTTGTATCAAGAACCATTCAATGGTTTAGAGTGCAAACTCTAACAAATTTGCATCCATCCACACTTGCACATTTATAATATCAGTAAGATTGTTTTACCTGTAAATATTCCTTGTGGTTGTATAACGACTTGTATATTATGACAACTGGTGCATTCAAATGCCATTGAAGTGCAAATAAGACCGACACTACCAACTCTGATAACTGTACCTTTGATAGTCACTAATTTTCCTGAAATGATAGTTTAAACCATGTTACTTTTTGGTCACTGTAAACTAGAAAGTATAAATATTGAAGACCAAAGAAAGTATGCATGGATATTGTGAAAGAGGATATGCTGACAGAGATTTATGGAAAGGTTCATTCTGTGCCAACCCTCTGTAGGGATAAGGGCAGGTTGATGATGATTATTGTTGAGTCTCTTTTAACATTTATACAAAATGTTATTAGCCATTGACATGGAAAAAATAGAAGAATAATTTCGTATAAATTTATTAACGATCATCATTATCAACCTGCCCTTATCCCTAAAGAGGATCAGCACAGAATGTACTCTTCCATACAGCATATCCTCTTTTACAAAATTCATGCATACTTTCTTTGGTCTTCAATCTTTATAGTCATCCAAATTTAATTTTAATACTTTCTAAGAAGACAAATCTTTAACAATTCATGGGGTTGGCAAAGACCACAAACTTCTACTTAATAATCTTGATAGACATCTCTCACAAGTATTTAATAGTTATAAAATGACTTACCAAAGTAGTTAACTTTCAAATTAGCTATAGGTATAACTGGTTGATGATTTAAAATTCTTACTTTAATTTTCGACTCACACTTCAGATTCTGTAAAAAATAAAAATTTACTTCTATTAAGCTAACAATAATTATTCAACAGTTTTATGTAGCAAGAATAGTTATGTAAAATGTTTTTTTAGACCTCAAAAGTCCTAGAACAATGATGTAAAAGATAAAATGATGTTTCTAATACTAACCTCATGTAAACAGTACTCTAGTAAATGTAGTGTGTTTTCAGGCATTTCAAATAAATCATTTTGAAATGATGGCCAATTAGTATTGAAATCTGTGTCTTCTAACATCATTTGCATATCAAGTGGCACACTTCGTGATTGGTCAATTTTTTCCAAATCAAATAAACTTCTATTTTTGAGTATAAAGGTCTTGAAGCAATTGACATGTTTTAAAGTATCTGGTTTAGTTTCTTCTGAAATAAATGAATGAAATAATTTTAAAACTTAGTTATAATGATGCATATTCTTTTTTGTTATGATTTAAATTAAAATAAAATGTAATCTTATGATTTATATGGATGTATTAAATTACCTTCGGTCGGGAAATATAACTTCCAAGTGTCATTTTGATGATCTTTACTTACAGCTATCACCAGAGGTATTTGATTAGCTGGTGCCCGCGAAGATGCGACGGAATTATGCGATATCTGTTGTGATGTTGAAGGTTGATTTATACTCTGATTTGCAGCGGTAGAATTATTGCAGGTACTCCTACCGCGAGGACGGTACCAATTACTCCTATATCGTCCTCTCCAACCTCGTCGCATATTTAAACAAATGTAATACACTAACAATAGTTCCTTGTGACTATAATTCACTTATAAGACAAACACTTGAAAAACAACTTGTTTATTTACAATGTATCGTTTTTCATGCCTAAATGGGAAAGACTTTAAGGCTGGAAGAGATAAATCCCTTTTATTTAAGTTAAGTTATATTATTTAATAGTTTTAATTTCCCGCGTCGATACAAAATAATGAATTTGACATTGACAATGACATTTCACATTTTTAAAATTAACACTACCTGTCTTTTCTGCATTGCATATAAGGTCTTTAGCCGTCATTGTGGAATTGAATTTTAAATAAACGCTGGTATACGTTTAAAGAACAATTTTTACGGACTTTGGGGAACATCAAAGTTAAGATTCTATTAACGGTTTACGAAAAACATAAGGAACTTTTCAAGCAATGTTAATTAAATAATATATAAAGTTTTCTATTTAAAATTCGAACATAAAAAATGATAATTTGAATAACGTCATATTTAATTATTCAATTCAATTTACGCCACTGCTTGTTCTTAGTTACATAATTTATTTTTGTAATTAATTATAGTACAATTGTGTAAAGTTAGTTTTAGAAACTATGTCTGATGATGTTGACAAACCTGCTCCTGAAAATGTGGAAACGGTTCAGGTTGAGGGTGCTCAGGCATCCGGAGATGCTGAACAGAAGGCGGAAGACGTCGAACATACTGCCGTGAAAATAGATGAACTCTCAAAAAAATATTCAAGAGAAAGACGTCCCACACTAGAGGCTGACGATAGTGATGAGGAGCGGGTAGTCGTGGATCGCACTGCTCTTGAAGCTATTTTGGATGTCAGTTCCAGACTGAAGGACATTCAGAAAAAGAGTAGAGTTTCAATGAGCACTCTTGCTCTTGGCCACGAGTCTTATAAAGACAAGCAAGTAAATAAATTTGATAATTAGCAATAAAATTGTTTTATTTTACTTTTTGCACCATTTACACAGATAGTTTTTTTCTAGGCGAAAGCTAAAGAAGCTCGTAGCGCCCGCATGGGAGGTATAAAAACACAGCACAGATTTTTGCTCGAAAATGCTGCCTCCATAATAAACAAGACTCCAGAATACGTATTGGTAATTCATGTCCAATGTATGAGTTCTAGTTTTTTGCCATAATGGAATGAAGATTTTGCAATACAAAGCCCAGATTCGGTATCATACTAAAGGTTTATACGAGATTCTAGACCTAATCAACTTAAAAAAACCCTCGTCGAATAGACAATCAGTTGTAAAAGAATTCATAGCTTTTTCTTCTTTTTTAATCGATTATAAGTGGCAGTGCCAGTACGTATTGCTAATTTTTAATATTCTTACAGGAGGGTGTGTTTGATGCAGACGTTCACATCGACATATTGGATAGTGCTGTTGCTGAGGGCGGCAGAAATTGTATAGTTTTGTGTGATGCGTTGTTGCCACCTCTAAAAATGGGTAGATATTAAATTATCGCTTGGTTTTATTGGAACTTTTTAGGCGGCTTGATGTTCGAGTATACTATTTATGTATGCATTTTAGTTTTAATTGAACGATAGCCTAATTAAACGGCTTAACTATTGTCATTAATTAGTCTTCTTTAAAGTATTTAGGAGTAGTCAGTCAAAATTGTTTGGTCTCCATAAAATCAAATGTATTGTAACGTATGCATGTTGATTAGTACTTTGCGTTAATTAGAATCTGGCCGCTTCGTACCAAATCAAAAGACATGGATGGAACGAGCATACATATCGGATACATCCACAATACCCGTGCAGGGACGATGCGTGGCGATGTACAGAATCAAGAACAAAGCTATTGATGTGAAAAATGTTGCAGATGTAATTATATTTTACATTTCTTTATAATTCTACATCCAAAAAAATCATTTCGTAATAATGTGTGTGAAAATCATTTCTTCAGAACTTTAGATTATTTTTATTTCAGGATTATTATTTAGTACACATTGATATAAGTTCGGAGAAGGACAACGTAGTATCCGGTATATACAAAACAATGGTACAAGTGTACGTACCCGCGTTAAAAGAATGCCAAGCTTGGGGTGATCTCAACCCTCCCAATCCAAGAAGTGGAGATATAATTCCGTCATACATTTCCAAGATTATGTTGTTTATAGATTATCTTGAAAGTAAGCTAAATTACTTATTTAAATATCATTATCCAGTAAGTTATTATGGGAATTTAAATACGAAGAACAGTTTCCGTCCTTTCTTCTCACGTATCGTCATCTTTACTAAACTATAAAGGGGAAAGATTTATATATTTGGATTTTTTGTATGTATGTACATATTTGATTCACGCAAAAACTACTGGGCCGATTTTAAGAAAGGTGTGAGTTTCATAGGCTATATTTTTTAATTTCACGCAGGCGAAGTCGCGAGCAAAAGCTAGCAATAAATATTATTGTCCAGCTTTTTATAGGAAAAAAACAAATGGTCTTTGTACTTATTTCTCACATTTGTAATAATTTTTAAAGAAACGAAAATTGATCTCGACTGCTGCACGATATTCAAAATAAACTATATGTTGTATGAGGACGAACTATCAGATCAAGAGAAGATGAAACACGCTATTACTAAAACTAACGTATTAGAAGAAATCTGCAAATTTGTTAAGCAATGGATGAAACAGATTACAATGGTAAAATAAGTAGAAACATCATATGATTAGTCTTAAGAAAATTTTTACGCTTTTTTGGTTGGTACAATGAAAGTTTTGAGTCTTCAGCACCACAAAAAAAATATTTATTTAACTTGTGAGAAACGGTCTTTACCTATTAAATGTTTTGTCATAGATAAGGCCTTAATTTTATAGTAGAAGAGACAACGGGTGATATGTCAAGTTTATAGAACATCAATCTTTGAAATACTAACCAACGCTGTAATTACCTTCAGCTCTTATTTGAGCGTCATTATCAAATTGTCCGCCTTTTTCCCAGGTATTGGTACAAAGTCAGCAGCTGCGACGTGAGCCGTCCAACATTGGCCCGCTCGCTGAACTGGACTATTGGAGGCGTCAGCTAACGACTTTCACGTCAATAATAGAGCATATCAAGAGTGAAGCATGCCAAATGTACATCCATACACTTATAAGAGCCAAATCTAAGCTTATCAAGGTAATATAATTGAATTTTAGTAAATTCACGTGGACGAAGTCGCGGCCAACCTAGTGTTACTATATTCCTGTATCAGTAACGAAGATTTTTAAGCATATCGGGAGTCATTCAAAGTGATCCATCTCTAAGTAACTAGTTGTATGTAGCTGCTATTGTATTTCATCAATTCTTCGTTTTAGAAATGGCGATTACTAGATAATCAAGTTACGGACTATTATAACGAAGCTAATGATAATGTGAAGTATTTATACGCTTTGGAAAAATACTGCGAACCGTTGTATAGGTAATGTTGGGTTTAGTATTACCTACATATAATAAAATTGGAGTGTCTGTTTGTAAAATCAAAAGAAAAAACCCAGATTTCGGAAAGAAGAAAAATATTGTATACTGTCTGTATGTTCGCAAGCCGTGTTTGTTCCGGGTAATCTCCGAAATAGCTGGGTCGATTTCGACCCGACTTATACTGAAGGGTAGCTGACGTTGATGGGCATATTATAGTATTTTTTTTATATCCGCGCTGTCAAAAAGGCGTAAATGGTGATACAAATTTGCGCTAACGTAGTTTAACCAGCGACAGCTCGTTATTACATAATATCACTACTTTGTAGAAGTTGTCAATTCTTTTGTAATATAGATGTGATCCGGTAACCATGCATCAACATATACCAGGCTTGTTGTACACGGTGCGAATGATTTTTGCGACATCTCGCTACTACAACACAACCAAACAGATATCTACGCTCCTGGTCAAAGTCACCAATCAGATCCTCAACATGTGCATGGACTATTTGACTAAGAAAGGCAAAAAGACGATCTGGAATCAGGATAAGCAAAACTTCATTAAGAAAGCGAGGGTATTATTTTTTGTAATAAATTTGATTAGAAACACTACAATTATAAACACACACAAAAGAAAATGTTATAATTATTTTAACGTACTATAAAGTTTAAATTACTTTTTCAGCTTTGTCTGAGTCTATACAGCTTTTATCGTGAGTGTTATGACGAGACGCAAAAGGAGATGATGGCGGCAGCTGACGAGAGACCCTTCGATTGTTCAGAAATGTACATCTTCGGAAAATTTGAAACTTTCCGGAAACGTTTATTAAAAGTAACACAGATATTTACTGGATGTTTAATCATAATTCAATAAAGTTAATTTAAACAGCAGCGTATATACTCAATGAATTTCTTTTGCAGATAATAGATTTATTTCAAACGTATATTACTTATTATGTTTTGAATAAAACGACTTTAGAAGGCATCGAAGAGTATGCAGCGAATTTTAACAAGCTTTTTAAAACGATCTCATCTAAAACATACGATGCTTTAGATCACAGGTTGGAACATAAAATATTTTAAAACAATTTCAATGTTAGAAATGTTTCTATATGGATTTGGCATGTTTGGTTTTCAGGCGACCAGATTTCGATAAAGATTACAAGAGTTATAAAGACCATGTGGCCAATCAGGAGCTGTTGTTGGAGAATTTTATGATAAATGTATGTTATAAGTATTACAAACAACAAATAAGTGGTTTATGTGATATACTTAAAGTACAGTGGTAGTGCCCGCTTTAACATCTTAGCACGAATGGGCCGGCACGCCCGGTGTAATACCACGACCACACAGAAGACAAGCGTGAAGTGGAAGTAATTCCGTGTTTCGTCTAATGAGTGTGGTGCCGGAGGTCTAATTTAAAAGCCCCTTATTTCTTACCAACCTTTTCTCATAAGGAGAGGATGGGGAGGGGAAGTGGATTTGACAGTGGAGGAGATGAAGGATAGGAAGGGGAAATATCCCCTTTATGTGCGTCTCCTCCTCCGTCGGATAAGGGTAGGCAACGCATCTGCAATTGCGGATGTCTATGGGCAGCGGTCGCTTCGCCATTTTGGCGGATTCGGGTGGCCGCTTGCTCGTTTGCCACCTTATGTTATAAGTACTTTAAATTTTGTAGGTTAGGTTTTGAGAAGACTCAAAAGGAGAACTGTTTATTTCCGTCCCAGTTACTTGGTATCGTAACTCGGTAGCAGGTTTCCTCAAGTTAAATTAGTTACCACTGGTGTTACTATTGTTTGATTTGCATTTTTTTCGCAGAGCGTGAACTTATGTCCGACAACTGAAATTGCTTTAAGCTTATTGAAACGCTTTGAGAAATTAAAACTGGACTGTTTATATTTGGAAGATCAGTATTACGATTCGATACGTAATTTTACTGCGGAAATTGAAAACATTCGTGACAGGTATAGAATAACGACAATTATTATATTATTATTATTATATTAATATCTTAATATTATATTAATATCTTTCTCTCGCTCTATTCCTTTTTCACTGTCTCCCTCACCGACTAGTATTCCATATGGTAGGATCTATTTCCCCTTTGGCTTATCCTCGACACCATTTTAATCTATTTTTTCAAGGTACAACGAAGAAAGAGAAAATCCTGAATTGCCGAGGAATATGCCGCCAGTGGCTGGTAGAATAATGTGGATAAGATTTTATAATAAAAATATTAAATTACCAATGGAAGAGTATAAAAAGCATCACGAAGTTATCACTCATATGGTAAAGCTATTTAATTTTATCTGTCTAATGACATTAACATAAATAAATTAATGATATATAGAAAACATATTATCTGATATGACGGAATGATATAAAGGAATATGGAGTAACAATTACGTAGGAAACGAATAATTGTTGTAAATATAAAATACTCTTTATTTAGTGAAGGTATAATATTTTTTTTTATTTTATTTATTTATTTATAGATAACTTACAGCTAAGTTACAAAAAATAGTAAAACAAACGAAAACTGAAGGATAATTACAAGTTATCGCAGCTAGAAATGGCTAGATATTTGATAACATAATAAATTGTTTAATTTATTTCAGAATACTCAACGATGCATCAAACTTTATAACGTCATGAGAATCGTATTTACTGAATTTGAATTAATTTATCATAGCGCTTGGCAAGAAAATGTAGGACAGGTAAATGATTAAAATTTAAAAGATTTTATATTATAACATAGAATAACGTGGGCTGGTTTTAAAGTTTAAAAGATACTAGCTTTCGCCCGCGACTCTGTCCGTGTGGAATTAAAAAACAAAAGTGAGCAGTTTAAGTTATTATAGACTATCCTCTACGCCCACCAAATTTTATTTAGATCCGATCAGACGTTTAGGCTACAAACATCCATCCATCCAATCATCTAAACTTTCGTATTTATAATATTAGTTAGAATATTGAAAAAGATTGATGGTAATCTTCGAAGACAAACTAAAAATATAAAAGTCGGTAGATTTAAAATTCATCACTATTTTGTCTTACCAGGTGAGGTTGGGTTTAATTGCTCCTTTGCTGATTCGACACCCGCTCACCAATTTGTACGTTGTAAATTTTAACGTTTACATACCGGAATGTATCAGGGAGGTTGAATATATGTGGCAATTGGAATTAAGTAAGTTCACAAGTTATTTAAGTAAATAATCTATGTAAAATTGGTAAACATTTCACTAATTTAAGAATTCAGGTTCTTTGTTAAGTTTTTAACTTTACTATTATTGTAGGTGTTCCCGACGCAGCTCAAATAGTAGCATACTGTAAAGACAGAATTTTCTCCAACTTTGAACGTATAAAAGCATTAGTCGATAGAAATGATAAAATACGAAGGTGAGTTTTTACTAAGCAATAATTAAATAAAATAAATTTAAGCGTCTATAGCCTAATGGTTTGGGGTACAGACTACCGTTCTTAGTCTAGGGTTCGAATCCCGCCATTCGACTATTGTCGTGAACCATATCCTAGCACAAGCCTTAGAGCTTAGTTGGAGTGGGTAAAGGAAATATTACTAAATCAACAAAGTGTAAACTAATGAACCTCCCTTTTACAGGAGTATGCCTAAGTTATATTTACCTCTACTACGGGCGCAACTTATTAAGATGGAAAAAGCTTTCCAACCTGGACTCTCTACTATTACATGGACTTCGTTAGAGATTCCAGCATACTGTGACAATATATCCGAAATAATGGATGAAGTCGACTTATTCGTTAAAGAGGTATGTTGTGTGTTAAAGACATACGAGGAAGTATAGTCTGTTAATTTTGTTCTGGTGTAGTAATTAAATTGTCTACTTAGTTAGATTTTAACTTATAAAGTTAGATAGCGTCATGAGAATAGCGTAGGCTGTCATGGTAGCAATGTAAGATCGCTACTCTATCCACTATCCCTTCATGAGATATAGCAAATAAATTGCTCCATCTTTCGTATAATTGAATGAAATTTTATTGACAGGTTACAGACATGAAAGAGGCTCGTATAGACGAAATTCTAAAGTCCATAGCAAGTACAATGTTAGTCTACTTACCAGTAAACGCGGTTGATCCTAACATATTCTATGAAGAAAATTTAGTAAGGCGTGATGAGATAGGTAAGATGCACTAATTATAATCATATTTAAGTATGTAGTGTTTCACTAAGAGCTGAATAATGTAATATTACATTATTTGTAGCGCAAAGTCTGCAGCAGAAGTCGTGGAACGCAGAATTAGCTGTTATAGAACTTATTAACAAATTTTTAGGCAGTGTGCCTGCGCAAGCTATAAAAGATCTGAAAGATAAATGGTAAATTTCAAACAGTTTGATTTTTGTTTATTTTAAACGAGCTTTCGCTCACGACTCCGTCCGCGTGGAATTAAATAAAAACAAAATTAAGTAGCCTGTGTGTTCTTCCAGGCTATCCTCTACATCTATACCAAATTTTATCGAAGTCCGTTCAGCCGTTTAGGCTACGAACTCTAACATCCATTCATCCATCTAAACTTTCGCATTTATAATATTAGTATGAAATATATTGACTAAAGTCAACATCATACAAATATTTCAGGTTAGATCCCGATAAAGCGTTGAAACCTGTAACTTCAGCGACTAGAGTTTTTCCTGAAAATGCTGGTATGTTTTTTATCATTGCAATTACATAAATTAAGAGAATACTTGAAATTTCAAATAACGAATATGTGTAAACATTTTATTCTTAAGGTAATGACATAAGTAATCATTATTTTATAGCTTTCTTAGAGATAGAAAACCCCGACCGTTTTGAAGTGACACCTACTCTTAATGAGTGTAATGAGTTATTCGCATATTTTGCAACGAAATGCTTAGAATCACTTATCAAGTGTACAAGACAAAGTCTCGATGTATTGAGGAAACGTGCTTCTGTCTCTAGGTAATGATATTTTTTAGTATCATTCATATCATAAAAGTATTAGATGCTACCAAGTTATAACAAAACCTAAAAGCGAAATTAGTCTTCAAGAAATCATATACTGTGTTTCAGTTTTTTGACAATGACCACCGATCCCGAGGAACAGAAGAAATTGAAGCCGCTAATGTTAACGATGATGTATCTGCAGATACCGAGAATTCTAATCAAACCCACTTTAGAGGAAGTGCAATCTGCGTTTTCACAAGTAAGAGATATTTTAGTTTCATTATTGTATTTTGACTGTAAATTTCTACTGTATTGTATTCCCCAAAAAGTGTCACTGCAGCGGAATTAGCAAACAAGTTAACATGTAGAATAATCATTATCCTACTCCCGTAGGGTCGGCGCAACAGGTTTTTGTCCGCCACATAACAATCATACGTCATCTCAGTCATCACTCCCTTTTTAATCATGTCACCTTTCACGCAATCCATTCATCTCTTTTTAGGTCTACCTCTACTTCCACACTCGTAACTAACGTTCTCCTTGTAACATATAGAATAATAATAACATTTTTGTAGGTTGTTTTAAACTGTATCATGGATATACATCGTAACGTATACATGTGGGGACAACAAGATCAAATTAATAAAATGAGGTCTGCAGGCGCTTCGTTAACAATTACAAGAAGCATAAGCGGTAAATCTTAATTTTGTCTACAAAATACATATTAAAAAGAACCTTTGTTCATTTATCATGTCATAAACACACACACTATTTCCATCCCTCTCAGGCACTTAAAAATAAACAGAGATAGCATAATATTATACCTATATTTATATCGTCAATTTCTTTTGGTTTTATCTCTTTATTCTTCTGTGGTGCTATAGGGTCTAGATCTGGCTCAAGTTTAGGTGGTGTAAGGAGCTACTTCCGAATGGTGTCTGAACACAAAGATATCGTGAGAGCTGTGATGGCGCTACAAGGAATGATGTACATGTACAAGCCAGATATTGAAAAGTTATTACAAGTATGTCACTTTGTATTAAGTTTTTTTGATCTAGTTTTCGATTCTTCCTTGATAGTTCAATTGTTATTTAAACTGCAATTCTCTCTTTACATCTTTTCTTTAAAGTCCTTCTTATGTTTATCTTCTGTTTTTTATCTATTGGAGTTCAAACAAAATAAAATAAAAATCAAAAAATTATACAACGTCATTTGACATTGTTTTTTCAGGGTTACAATAGATTTGCTCATCTCTGGGCAGAGGATAGAGTGCAGCAAGTTCAAAGTTTTGTTGATTCAAATCCTCTCAACGTGATCATAAGAGACATGCTAAAGAAGTATGAATCACAAACTGAGGAAGTTGTTAACTTACCTCCCAAACATATAATTGGATCGATTCAAATAGACACAGGTATTGTATCAAAATAATTTGATTAGAAAATACATTTATACTAAAATGAGAAAAAAAAATTCTGGATGTTTGTATGTATTGAAATAACTCAAAAACTACTAGGCCGATTTCGAAAAATCTTTCACTATTAAAAAGCCACGTAATCGGTGAGTAACTTAGGTAGTATCTTTTACTGTTTTAAATACCACGTGAACAAAGTCACGAAACAGCTAGTTAAAAAATTTCGGATACTTCAATATAATTTCAAATTCGGTTATTACAATAGTTGCTTTACATTTAGTAAATTAGTAATCTAAAATTTTATTGTACACTTCAATGAATGATTTTTTTTACAATGCAGCGTGAACGAAATTTGTCATTGGGGTAAATAGTGATAATGTAAAAACTATTATAATTTCAGATAATCTTAAATTGGCATTACACGTTGAGTCAGTTGAATGGAAGCGAATTTTGGGAAAGTTATTAAGTAATTCGTACAGAGAACGCGTCTTAAATTTGATGCAATTTATCAAAGACCGCATGAAGACGATGAGCAAAAAGATAAAGGATTTGGATGACGTCAGAGTTGCTATGATGTGTCTTGAATTAATCCGAGAAGAGTTTATTGGGTAAGGGAAAAATAGTAACATTTTAGGCCTATCTCTGTAACTCTAATTAAAAGATTCCGTTATTCTGACTAGAGTTTCGATAGTTATTTAAGATTTCTTTGTTTAACCTAATAACTAAGTACTCTTTATTTACTTTTAAGGATGGATATGGAGTTAGATTTAATAGAAGAAAGTTATGCAACTTTTAGTCAATTTGATATTGATATTCCTAAAGACGACGCGGATATGGTGTATGGCTTACGTTACGCATTTCAAAACATGCTCATTACTGTAAGTTTTAAAGCTATTCGAATCATATCATAAATTTCGTGTAAAAATAAAAGGGATGAATTTGTAAAAGACAATTTTGAAGATTGATTTTACTCTTTAATCTACATTATATTCCATAAATGTACCTTTAGGTAATCTAAAAGATATAGTTTTTTTAACGTCTGTATCTATCCTATTTGGTGTAGGTTTTTTTCGAATATTAATTGTGGCCAGTAACTCTGTGCAGTATTGTGTAAATAAATATTTTCAGTCGCAACAAGTGCAACAAAAGATAGTAGACATGCAAGGACCGTTGCAAATGGAGCTGACAGAAGGAGTGGATACATTCCTTACTGATGTGTTAAAGTTCGATGCGGACTATGACTCGTTCGGACCCATGACTCCAGGATTGTCTGCGAGAGAGGCTAGCGACAGGTCCTTACATTTATAATAAACCACGATAAATTTTAAACGTGATTTAAATTTTGGATAGATGGTTACGTCGTTGTTAAATAGTAGTTTGCATTCTTTATCGCTACTGACGAATTGTTTCAGAGAAATTTTTTAACTTTTTTTAAAAATAATTTTCAGGGTCATATTGTTCCAATCACGGTTTGACGAGCTATGGCGTCGATTCGAGATGTATTCCAGTGGTGAAAAGTTATTCGGCATGGAAGTAAATGATTATCCTATACTCCATCAGAAGAAGAAAGAATTCAATCTTTTGAGCAAATTGTAAGTTTAATTTATTTTGAGTAAATTTCACTTTTAGAATTCCTGGTTGATTAGGTTTAGTAACATTCAAACTTAAAGTTGACAACGATTATGTATATCGGAGCAATGTTTTCTTATCATTTGACAAACATAATTAACTACTTCTGTACGAATAATTGGAAATATTTGTATTTTTGTTTGTATTGAAAAAAGCTACGTTATCAGCGAGTAACATAGCCTATGTTTTTCATATTTTTTAATTTCATGCGGATAAAGTCGCGAGCAACAGCTAGTGTTAAATATGATTCTATAAACTGCAATGTTCTATTCCTTATTTCAGGTACAGTCTATACCTTGCTGTGATGAATTCCATCGATGGTTATTTAGAAACGCCATGGGTCGAAATTGATATTGAACAAATTGTAGCTCAATTGGCCGAGTTTGATTTAAGGTACGAAATATAATTTTATTGGAACAGTGATTTCAATTAACTTTTTTATTATGAATCTAAATAGGAATGTATTCTATTTTATACAATACGGGTACTACTAACCTTTTCATTTTCAGATGTCGTAAGTTGCCAAGAGGTATGAAAGACTGGCCAGCGTTTATTGATTTAAAAAATAAAATTGACGACTTTAATCAAACTTGTCCGTTATTGGAGCTGATGGCGGATAAGTCTATGAAGGAGAGGCATTGGAAGCGACTCGAAGATCTAATGCGTTAGTAATCATGTACAAATTGATTTGTTATTTTGGATAAAACCTTTAAAATGAGAAGCTGCCATATCAATAATTCAATATTTTAGATTGTGTTTTGGACGTGGAATCGCCAACATTTACGTTAGCGAATGTGATGGAAGCACCTTTGTTAAAGAATAAAGAAGATGTCGAGGTAAAATTAATTAAATAAATATAGACAATTTTTAAACTACAAAAGAAAATTCTGAATTTTTTTAATTAATAGTATTATCCTTTCTTAGGACATCTGTATCGGTGCAGTAAAAGAAAAAGATATTGAAGCCAAACTCAAGCAAGTAGTTTCGGATTGGGCGGTTGTCGATTTAACATTTGCTAACTTCAAGAATAGAGGCGAACTTCTCATCAAGCCGCAAGAAACTCTTGATATTATCACAATGCTGGAAGATACCATGATGATACTCAATTCTTTAGCGTCCAATAGGTGACGGAAATATTTTGTTTTTAGAACTTCACTATAAAATATTGTCACTTCTGGTACTAATATTTTTTTTTACGGTTTGGTAGAATACATTTTTCAGTTTGGGGATTGCTTCACAAAAACAATTTTTATATAAAATTTTGAAAGAGATAAGGCAAAAAGGTTAATACCTATTATTTTTTTAATTATCAATTAAATTTTTTTTCTAAGGTATAATGCTCCATTCAAGAAGGATATTATGCTTTGGATCAATAAGTTGATTAGTACATCCGATATATTAGAGAAATGGTTGCAAGTGCAGAATTTATGGATGTATTTGGAAGCTGTGTTTGTTGGTGGTGACATTGCCAAACAGTTGCCCGCTGAAGCGAAGAGATTTGCTGTAAGACGAAATACAATGTTCTTGTTTTTAATTCTCTCTATTTTTGAGTCAACTTGATTTAATAGTATTTGCTCTAATGTTCCTTTGTTTTTTATTCTTCTGCTTTTAATTATGACCTCTTGTAAACTAATGTATATTTCTTTTTAGACAATCGACAAAACATACGTAAAGATAATGTATCGGGCCCGTGATATAGTCAATTGTGTGGAGACGTGCACCTCTGATGATTCTCTAAAGCAGTTGCTGCCGCATCTATTTGACCAGCTGGAGGCATGTCAGAAGTCGCTCACTGGCTACTTGGAGACCAAACGACTTATTTTCCCAAGGTTCTTCTTCGTATCCGATCCTGTACTTTTGGAGATTCTTGGTCAAGCCTCAGATCCTCACTCAATTCAGGTGCTAATATAATTGAATACTACTCAAACATATTCAAAGAATCTATCACGTAGTTGAAGTAGGGTATAGATCTGTAATTCTTAATTCATTCTATGATTAGCTTTCGCTTGCGACTCCGCTCGTGTGGTATTGTAATATTAAAACGATTAATTAATAACAAAATCAGGGTTTTTAAATCATTATTGTTCTTCTGGCGGTTTGAATATAATTGACACGATCCCTTCATTGTATCATTTTAGGTGCATCTTCCAAGCATCTTTGATGCTATCTACACAGTTGATTTCGATGACAAGGAGAGAATTGTTGCCATGAACTCTTCAAACGGAGAGAAGATAAAGTTAGAAAGAGCAGTTGCATGCGTAGGCGGGGTCGAGGTAATAAGATTGTAACACAAATAATTTAGATCCTTATATTGTTGTGCTTGTATTTCTTTTCTTTATGAGATGAACACTATTAACATTAACGCCGTATTTAGTACATTTTTTCTCTCAGTAGTAGCTAAATTCAATAGTTTTACTTAATCTGAGTAAATAATAAAAAAAGAGATTTGAAGATTAATACCATAGTCTGTATCTAGAATTATTTTTTATTTTTATTACGTGTAATGAATTGCTTGCAACGAGTGTCCTCGTTTGCCTTTTGAAACAAAAACCTTTTGAGAGCGTTTCGCTATTCACGTTTTGAGGGTTTATTATACAGAATAATAATCTTGAAAATTAAAAACAGGATGCAATGAAATATATTATTTTAAAGTTAAAGCAATATTGATTTTAGATTTGGCTGAACACTTTGTTAGATACCATGAAGGATACAGTGAGGAATATTATTGCTAACATTTCACAAACAATGTCTGGTGATCCCGAATTTGAATTTTTGGTTGGATTTTGGAATTTCCCTGGACAGGTAACCCTTCAGTTTTTTACATAGGTTTCATTTACCTTTAGATTTTATCAATATCCAAATATATGTTATGACTACACATAACATTGTATTTTTTATTTCAGGCTAGTCTTTTAGGTATGCAAATTCTATGGACAAGTGACGCTGAATACGCTCTTAAGAAAGCTAGAGCGGATCGCTTCATCATGAGATTGACGAATCAGAAGTTCCTTGATCTGCTGAATGGACTTATTGATCAGACTGTAAAAGATTTGGTCCCACTTGATAGAACAATGATAGAAACTATGATCACCATACATGTACATCAAAGGTAGTGTAAAAGTTATTTTACATCTTACTAACATTATAAATGCGAATGTTTAGGTGGATGGATTTCCATCCGAATGGATGTTTGTTAGAGTTTGTAGCGTATATGGCTTAACGGATTTGGATGAAATTTGGCATAGAGCATAGTTTGGAAGAACACATAGGCTACTTACTTTTTTTAATTCCAAGCGAACGGAGTCCCAGGTGAAAGCTAGTTTTAAAATCATACAGCAGCAGTAATAACCCTTAGGAATAATGAGATGTTGATATTTTAGGGATATTTTCGATGATCTTGTAAAAATGAGAATCAAGAATATTGGAGACTTTGAGTGGCAAAAACAAGCTAGATTTTACTACTTTGAAGATACTGATGACTGCGTCGTTGGAATAACAGATGTCGACTTCTTATATCAAGTAATTTTTCTATAGCTACATATACTGTTTTTTCGCTTTTTATAGAATTTATGGTTAAGTGCTTTTATAATGGTTTAAAATACTTGTCCAGAATGAGTACCTGGGTATCACTGAGAGGCTGGTGATAACGCCGTTGACGGATCGTTGCTACATTACGTTGTCGCAAGCAATCGGCATGAGCATGGGCGGCGCGCCCGCCGGCCCCGCGGGCACAGGCAAGACTGAAACCACTAAGGATATGGGTCGCGCTCTTGGGAAGCTCGTCATCGTCTTCAACTGCTCTGATCAAATGGATTTCAGAGGTGAGCCGTCAAATTCTTTACTTATCAGTGCCATGTTAAATACAAGGACAAAATGTAGAATTCTTGCTTACCTACCACGACATTACTGCTACCTTTAACTGTGTCTTTGTTATTGAGGAGCCTCATGTTTTCGCTAATTAGAGCTTACAATAAACTGTGATATCACCAGGATTGGGTCGTATTTACAAGGGCCTTGCGCAGTCTGGCACATGGGGCTGCTTCGACGAATTCAATCGTATTGAGTTGCCCGTACTTTCTGTCGCCGCTCAACAAATTTACATCTGTCTCACTGCAAGACGAGAAAAGAAAGATTTCTTCATATTTAGGTATGAACTATTAAGGCTTTACTTGTAATGTAACATTATATACATGTTAAACCTATTGTGTCTTATCTTTAAATTATCGGATATTTTATAGTGATGGTGACACCGTAAGCTTGAATCCAGAATTTGCATTTATCATCACAATGAATCCTGGTTACGCTGGCCGGCAAGAGTTGCCTGAGAATTTAAAGATTCAATTCCGTTCTGTGGCTATGATGGTACCAGACAGACAGATCATTATCCGAGTCAAGTTGGCCAGTTGTGGCTTCAAAGAAAATATTTTGTTGGGTAAGTGACGCTTTTCCTCGTTTCATTCACATTGTGCTTATTGTTAACATACCCAAGTGACAAATATCTTATTTTGTTTTACATTTTTAGCTCGTAAATTTTTCACTTTGTACAAACTTTGCGAGGAACAGTTGTCGAAGCAGGTGCACTATGACTTCGGTCTCCGTAACATATTGTCAGTGCTTAGGACTATGGGGGCACAGAAGAGAGCTAACCCTGACAGTACCGAAGAGAATATCATGATGAGAGTGTTGAAGTAAGTGTATTTGACAATACAAGAGAATAATCGATGATTGAAGCACTCGTGATACGAATAATAAAATATCGTTTTAACTATTTGCTTTCGAATTATTAATCTTCTATGATTTGGATATGATTTTCTATTAACTTCTTGTTAGCACATACTGTTATACGACTTTGTGAACATTTTATATTACAGAGAAATGAACGTATCCAAGTTAGTAGACGAGGACGAGCCGTTGTTTATTTCACTGATTGAAGATTTGTTTCCTGGTATGAAGTTGACGCAAACTGTACAAAGGTAATGTTTGGCCTGTTTATTACTAGTATTTGTTTGAGGGTTCCATAATTTAAAATAAACTAGTTAAAATTCATTATGTTGTAAAACATATTCCACACCTATTTATTTAGGGAAATGCAACGCGGAATAACCATAGTAACTGAACGATCAGGCCTCGTGAATCATCCAGAGTGGAATCTAAAAGTTATCCAGTTGTATGAAACTTCTCTAGTACGACACGGTTTGATGACAATGGGCCCCACGGGGTCTGGAAAGACTACTTGTATCCATACACTGATGGATGCATTAACTGAACTGGGTAAACCGCATAGAGAAATGCGAATGAACCCCAAAGCTATAACAGCGCCTCAAATGTTCGGAAGACTGGATGTCGCTACCAATGATTGGACCGATGGTATCTTTTCAACACTTTGGCGAAGAGCTTTAAAAGTGAAAAAGTCTGATACCACTTGGATTGTATTAGGTATTTGTGTTAATATTGACTTTTTTTAATAGTTTTCGCGTTTACAATATATTTACCAATCAAGTTGTTCGTACAGATGGCCCAGTTGACGCTGTATGGATTGAGAATCTTAATTCAGTGTTAGACGACAACAAGACATTAACTCTAGCTAATGGAGACCGGATCACGATGGCTCAGAACAGCAAGCTAGTGTTTGAGCCTGACAATGTGGATAACGCATCGCCGGCTACTGTCAGCCGAATGGGGATGGTATTCTTATCCTCTTCAGTGTTGAAATGGCAACCGATTTTGGAGGCAAGTTATGATTTTTTATTTTAATATCTTAAATTAGTATTTTTAAACAGAAGATATGATAATCTGTAATAACTTTAGAGAATAATGTTCTGAATTATTTAGACAAGAACATGTCTATTCCACAGGGATGGTTAAGAAGGAGACCACCCAGAGAAGCCGATGTATTACGTGTTGCTTTCAACAAAGTATACGATGAAGTCCATACCTATGTTCAACAAAGATTACCTGCCAAAATGGCGCTTTTAGAAGCTATCTATATTCGGTAAATGTATATTCTTAAGAATTTGTTATATTGTTTTTAATTGCGTTTACACTGTTGATCCTTTATTTTATTATAGACAATGTATCGACGTACTAGTTGGTCTGTTGGAAATAGAAGTTCCTGGCGGAAGTAAGTTTTAAAAGCAGTAATATGAAACTGTAATGAAATGCATGGATTAATGTTATTTTAAAATTATAAAACCTTAATTCCTCGTCGTAATATTCGCTGTGTAATTTTAGAAACTCACACGGATCGTCATTTGGAGCGTCTGTTTATATTTGCCCTGATGTGGTCTCTCGGAACGGTGCTGGAGTTGGACGCGCGCACGCGAATGGCTGAGTTCATGACGAAGTTGCCAGTGAGGATGGATTGGCCGGGCTCTAAGTCGAAAGAGTGGGTCATGCCTTTTGAATACATGGTTAACGAGAGTGGTGTTTGGCAGCACTGGTAAGTTCTTAATTTTTTTTTAGTCATTTTTATTAACTTAATCAATTTCTTTCGTTATACTCGTAGTTCCGGATAAGGTGTTTATTTTTACTAGGATTGAAGAACATTTGGTGATTGCCCATGCAAAGACCATTCTTTAAATAACATTGTTGATTATTGTTTTCAGGTCAGAAAGCGTTGAGGATTACATTTACCCGCCTGACAGCATACCAGAATACGCCTCTATATTAGTACCTAACATTGACAACGTATGCATATCGTTCTTGATAGACACAATTGCTAAGCAGAATAAGGCCGTGTTGCTGATCGGGGAACAAGGCACGGCTAAGACAGTCATGTTGAAGAGTTACATGCAGAAATACGATAATGAAGTAAAATTGTTCAAAATGATAAACTTCTCGTCTGCTACCACACCAAATATGTTCCAGGTACATAAAATGGAAGCTTTGGAAAAAGGCTTGTTTAAGAATCTTTGCTAATACTTTTGTATTGTGTATAATAAATACAACATAATGAATAATGGATGCGTGGATGGATGGATGGATGGATGTTTAATAGAGTTTGTATCCTAAACGACTGAACGGATCTAGATGGAATTCGATATAGATATAGTGCATAATCTGGAAGAAAACATAAGCTACTTGCTTTTGTTTTTTTTTTTATTCTACACAAATGAAATCGCAGGAGAAAGCTATTATTCAACAAAATTACAGGATTTTCACAAATAAACGGACTTTTACCTTCTCAAACAATTGTTGCCACGTTGAAAATGTGGTAATTAATTAATTTAAGTAAATTATATTAACAATACCGTTATTCTTTAAACAATTGTCTATATTTATTGTTGAATTTTGTTCTGTTTATAGAGAATCATCGAATCGTACGTGGAAAAGCGCGTGGGTATGACTTACGGCCCTCCTGGCGGTCGCAGCATGACGGTCTTCGTCGACGACATCAATATGCCGGTTGTCAATGAATGGGGTGATCAGGTAAGATAAACAATTTCTTCTACATGGCCATCTTTTATTTAATTTTATTTATATTACTTTTTCTTTGTTTCTGCGTTTCTACAGACCAAAATATCTTGGTCAATGTCTTTGGTGAGATCAAAGAAGCGTCTTCTTCATAATATTTATAAAATTGTTAATCATTTAAAAAAGTGTGATCTAATTTTCATGGTACTTTTTTTTAGGTAACTAACGAGATTGTACGACAAATGATGGAATGCGGAGGATTTTATTCCCTAGATAAACCGGGAGAATTTATTATAATCGCTGATATTCAAATGTTCGGTGCTATGATACATCCAGGTAAGCAGAAAAACTCACGATTCATATAACTATACTTCTATACAAATATAATGAAGCGTAAACACACATTACTTTGTGGCGTAGAATGTCAGTAATCACAGAATATTTTTGAATAAATCTTTTTTTAATATAAAGTCCTACACTTACGATAAGCTATATACTTCACGATATTAAACTTAGGGGTAAAGACATTAGAAAAAACGTTTATGTGGGAAAGGAACCTATAAACTATAAGGTGCCATCATTAAGGAAGTAAGGTTATTATGATAACGGTAATTTTAACATTTGCAATTAAGAATTTGACCAATGTAAACAATAAAATAATGAAGCCGTATAGAAACAGCTAGTTCATAATAGTCATACATAAACTTTGCGGCGATAATTCGAGTGTTTTGTTAAATTTAACAAATTTTTTCACAGGTGGCGGACGTAACGACATTCCACCTCGTTTGAAGAGACAATTCAACATATTTAATTGCACTCTTCCAAGTACTGTTTCAATGGACAAGATTTTCAGTACGTATTCAACTGATAATCTGTTGTTTTTCTTTTGACAAATGATAAAATTGTTTTTTTTGTCTTATTTTTAGTAACAATTAGTGCTGGCTATTTTTGTAAGGCGCGATTCGATAAAAAGATTGTAGATTTTATGCCACGACTTGTTCCAGTCACCCGATTAATATGGCAACAAACTAAGGTAACATCTAATAATATATTTTTCTCAATGTTAGTTAAATTAATTAGTTTTTATTAATTAAAACCGTTATAATGACTACAGATAAAAATGTTGCCGACTCCGGCGAAATTTCATTATGTTTTTAATTTACGTGATCTATCAAGAATATGGGAAGGAATCCTCTATATCAAGAAAGAGGAGTTACCAAATATAACAATTGCTATGAAGTTATGGTTCCATGAATGTTTGAGAGTAATTTCAGATAGGTAAGGAAGATTTTCTTTTAAGAGCACGCGCACTTTGAATAAATTATCGCAAAACTGTTTAATCTCACTTTGATTGTATGTTGATTTGAATTGGCTGCGAAACAATCGACAATTGCACGACAGTTGTGCGATAGTTTAGTTCAGGTGTGCGCGCGCTTTAATTACCTTGCTTTACGCAGTTTATTATCACGGAAAGCATTTATGGTTTTTAGGTTTACAACATTCGATGACAAAGATTGGTTTGTGGAGAACTTTTGGAAGATCGCTGCACATGAACTTCCCGACGTAGTTAATGACTTCCCGACTGAAGACACGTATTTTGTTAACTTTTTGCGAGAGCCCATTGACCCGACGGGTGATGAGGATGAAGACTTCAGTACTGAAGCTCCCAAAATATATGAAGAGTTGCCATCGTTAGTAATAATTTTGTTTAAAAATACCGTAGACATTGTTTTTTTTAATTTTATCACTAGTCTATTTTACTTTGCAGATGGGAATTTGTATTAAAGAAATTGGCACAGTTTCAAGATCAATTTAATGAGCAAATTAGAGGTGCTCACCTGGATTTGGTATTTTTCCACGATTGTATGGTGCATTTGTTTATTATATCGCGAATTATCAATACACCAAGGTACCGTTTACCATTTTATTGCAACTCTCTTGTTTCATCTATGTTATTCTTTTTGTAATAATATTGATTGTATATTTGTGGTTTTTCCAGAGGTAACGCTTTGCTGGTGGGTGTCGGTGGATCTGGTAAACAAAGTTTAACCAAATTAGCTTCGTTTATAGCTAACTTTAAATTTTATCAAATCACTTTGACAAGGTATTCATCTGATATTGTTGTGTGTCTAGCTGGATTCATATATTTTTTTACAAATTTAATTTATCAGGTCGTATAACGTCAACAACTTTATGGATGATATAAAGATTTTGTATCGAACAGCGGGACTTCAGGGTCTTGGCATTTCCTTTATATTTACTGACAATGATATTAAAGAAGAACAGTTCCTTGAATTTTTGAATAACATTCTCAGCTCGGGAGAAATTGCTAATCTTTTCCCTAAAGAAGAAATGGGTAAAGATACATATTACTTCTGTAAATCTACGTAATTGTAGACAGTTTGATAGTACTTGAATTGGAGTTATATCACTTAAATATTGAATCTATGGTTACATCACTTCAATACATTTTTGTTATGCTATAAGAATGTAACTTGTTAACCAGGTTACGTTCAAAATTTGATCTACTTTTGCAGTTAACTATACCCGTGTTATCTAAGTAGACTATCGTTTTGTTAATAATTTGCTATTGTCTTTTAGATGAAATTCTCAACGAATTAACTCCTATTATGAAGAAATATGCACCGAAAAGAATTCCGGTTCCCGATGTGTTGTACGAATATTTTATTATGAGATCTAGAGCTAACCTCCATGTTGTTTTATGCTTCTCACCGGTAATGTAGATTCTTAATAATGGGAGCCTTATGTTGTAAATATTTTATTTTTACATTCGATTTTGTTGCTAGGTCGGTGAGAAATTCCGTAGCAGAGCTCTGAAGTTTCCTGGTCTTATTTCTGGATCAACAATGGATTGGTTCCAAAAATGGCCTAAAGAGGCATTAATAGAAGTGGCTCAACATTTCCTATCTGGCTTTAAGGCACGTATTAGCCAAATTAGATTCAATACAGTATGCAGTATTTATACTAATTTCCATATTTTATGCGATGTTTTGGTATTTATTCGGAAAAATTGTTGATGTCAGTTTTGTGCCTTTTATTTTTGTAGATTGTATGTTCAGAAGAAACAAAAACACAGTTAATTGAAGTGATGGGCATGGTTCAAGACGATGTCGCGAGCGCCTGTGTGTCTTACTACGATAGATTTAGAAGACAGACTCACGTTACTCCTAAATCATATCTCTCTTTCTTAGAAGGCTACAAAGTTGTGTACAAAGAAAAGCATAACAATATAGCTGAAATGGCAAGAAGGTTAATTGATTTTGTCTATGAAATACTTTTGTAAATGCTATCAATACTGCTGTCAATAGAATCATTTTGTTTTGTACATATATTGTAAATTACAGAATGACTACTGGCTTGGATAAGTTGGTTGAAGCTGCTGCTAGCGTAGATATATTGAAAAAAGAGCTGGAGCTAAAGGAATTGGAAATAAAGGAAGCAACAGCAAAAGCTGAAGAGGTGTTAGCAGCTGTAGCAGAATCGGCGGCAGCTGCTGAAGTTGTTAAAGCAGAAGTGCTGGAAGTGAAGGACCGAGCTGTTAAGCTTGTCAGCGTAATTGCAGCGGAAACAGCTGTGGCTGAAGATAAATTGGCAGCGGCAAAGCCAGCGCTCGATGCCGCTGAAGCTGCTTTACAGGTATAAGATTTTGTATTTGTAAATAACATTCAAATATTCGCTTAGATGTTAAATTTTTATATGAATTGTTTTAGACTATTAATGCTGCCGATATAGCTACAGTGCGAAAGTTGGGTAAACCACCTTTCCTAATTACTTTGATTATGGACGCTGTAATAATTCTCTTTAGAAAACGTATCGATCCAATAAAACCAGATCCGGATAAACAATTTTTGGTAGCTTCGTGGGCAGAATCTCTCAAGGTAATGGGTAGCAATATACTGCATGTTATGATTAATTCTTTTTGTTTTTTGCTTCTATACATATTTTTTAACATTTACAGGTTATGGCCGATGCTAGGTTTTTAAATAACCTGAAAAATTATCCAAAAGATGAAATTAATGCTGAAATGGTTGACTTGTTGCAACCTTATTTCAATTTCAGGTAATTGTTTTTTTTTTTTGCTTTAGTTGTATTAAATGAAAATATTTTGGTTTTATCCAAAGATGTCATTATATTTGATATATTGCTTGAGTGTATATTTTTTACAAAATTTCAATCATTTTCAGTCAATATACCTTCGAAGCTGCGAAGATTGCTTGCGGCAACGTTGCAGGTTTGATATCCTGGACTATTGCAATGGCACAATTCTACGGGGTCAACAAAGATGTGTTACCTCTAAAGGCGAATTTAGCAGTAATGCAGGGCAAGTATCAGGCTGCCAAGAAAGAATTGGAAGCTGCGGAAGCATTATTAGAAGCTAAAGAGGTAAAAAATTAGAATAAAATGATTTTTCATCTGTTATATTAAATTTCAAAAGCAATTATCAGATAAGTAGACTGGGTACTAACTAAAATGATACATGTTCCAAATCCCTAATGGATTATGTCGAAATGATGTCGTTCTTTTCTTAGCTTATTATACCAAAACAAGTGTATAAAGTTCCTTAATATCATTTTTAGCGCGAATTGGCTGGAGTGCAGAGAGAATTTGATCAGGCAATGGCACTGAAACAGGCAGTCTTGGATGACGCAGCTAAATGTCAGCAGAAGATGGACGCGGCTACAGCATTGATTAATGGTCTGAGCGGAGAACGAGTGCGATGGACTGAACAATCCACTCTATTCAAGGCTCAGATAGAACGTCTCGTTGGAGACATTTTGTTCCTCACTGGGTAATGAAACGTGAATTATATATTATCGTAGAAAAGTTATATCCTACTCTTAATCCGGTAATAATAATGAAGCAATGGCTCGAGCCGAGACTTCTGATGGAGTTCTCGAGCTTAGTTAATCATACACGAGGTTTTGGCTACCTTAAGCCCGGTGAATCTATAAATGCATCTTCAAATAGTGACAATTCCGTCACAAAAAAGATCCTATACAGAGTTATTTAATTTATGGAAACGTAGTTAACTGACAGTTTCAAAATAAAAATTTTTTGTATTGCTTATAGATCAAGGTTTTAAAAGTATCATAAAACTATAAATGTCACAAAAACAAGAAAAGATTAATACAAAGACAGTACAGTTAATTTATCGTGCATATTAACGATGTTGTGTTTAAAAACAGATTTTTGTCTTACTCTGGACCATTCAATCAAGAGTATCGCAACTTATTAGTTTGTAATTGGTTGAGCGAATTGCTGCGACGCAAAGTACCGGTCTCCATGAATTTAAGTATTACGGAAGAATTAACTGATACAGCTACGGTAAATAAAACATCTTTGGAGAATTTGTTTCATTTATGAACAAAGTTTTTTGTTCTTTAAATAGTCGATTCAAAAAGATAAAACTTAAACTTACATTATAAATTGCAAAAGTTTAGATGGATGTATGTTTGTTAGAGTTTGTAGCCTAAACGGCTGAACGGATCTCAATGAAATTTGGCATAGATGTAAAGACGATCACATAGTCATCACTTTTTTTTAATCTCACGAGAACGAAGTCGCGAGCGTTAGCTAGTATAAAACGATGCTTTAAAATGCAAAACATTCTTTTTACTACAGATTGGTGAATGGAATTTATATGGGTTACCAACAGACGAGTTGTCAATACAGAACGGTATCATTGTGACGAAGGCGGCTCGGTTCCCATTACTTATAGATCCGCAAACACAAGGCAAGATCTGGATAAAGAACATGGAGAGATATAACGATCTCATTGTCACTACGTTAAATCACAAATATTTCAGGTAATTTTATATGACTTATTAGCAAACGCATAAGTCTCATCTCCAGATAAGTCAGCGCAGGCGCAAATCTAATTAATGAAGAATAAATTACTCTCAAAAGAGATCGAGTTTAGTCTTTTATCGACAACGTGTTGTAGACTTTATGACTTCTGTGTTTTGTACCTTAAAAAAACGTTTGCAATGATATACATAAGTTAAAAGTATTTGATATAATCAAATTTAAATACTAAATGTAATGTTTGTTGTAGGAATCACATTGAGGACTGTGTGTCACTCGGTAGACCGTTATTAATTGAGGATGTCGGAGAGGAATTGGATCCGGCGCTGGATAACATTTTGGAGAAAAATTACATTAAAATTGGTTCTACATTTAAAGTACTTAAATAAAACATTTTTGACTTCTCAAGAACTAATAGTTTTTTTAAGTTTTGCTGATTAGTGAAATCTTCTATTAGAATAAATTCACTTTTCGAGATTTTTATTTGTTTTGTGAAAATAATTACAACAAATTTTAGGTAAGACTCGGTGACAAGGAAATTGATGTCACGCAAGGTCATAAGATCTACATTACTACAAAGCTACCTAATCCCGCGTACACTCCAGAAGTTTCTGCAAGAACCTCAATAATCGACTTCACTGTGACGATGCAAGGTGTGATACTATTTGGATATATTTATTGTTTGTAAATTAATAATTGAGTATTTGACAAAAACAATAGAAGAATCAAAAAACACCAATGTTTCTATGGTTGATGACTTAAACATTTATTTATCTGTAATATCTTTTTATTTATTAGGGTTGGAGGATCAACTATTGGGTCGTGTAATATTAACGGAGAAGGCTGAATTAGAATCGGAGCGAACGCATCTGATTATGGACGTAACTTCGAACAGACGCAAAATGCAGGAGTTGGAGGCGAATTTGTTGCATAAATTGACCACTATACAAGGTTCTCTAGTCGAGGATGTAACCTTAATTCAAGTGCTCAATGTCACCAAAGCAACTGCTACCGAAGTAAATAAAAAGAATTTAATTAAAATAAACACAATTATTTTATAGTAGACCTAGCTATTATTAAACATGTTTCCAATATAACATAGGCCGATAAATACTGGATGTAAGTTTCAGTATATACTAATTCATTTTAATGTAATTTGCCTTTTACTATTCGTTTTAAGGTAAGAGAAAAGTTAGACGTGGCAAAAGAAACAGAAATAAAGATAAACACAGCGAGAGAGGAATTCCGTCCCGTGGCGACTCGCGGCTCCGTGTTGTATTTTTTGATTTGCAACATGTCTCTCGTGTGCAACATGTACCAGACCTCGTTGGCGCAGTTCCTTGAACGATTTGACATATCGATGGAAAGGTCACCGCCCAGCCCTATTACCATAAAGAGGATTTGGCACATCATTGACTATTTGGTACGTTTAAGTTTATGCTTGCAGTTGGCGATCATTTGTTTTTTTTTTTATATGCTCCGGTACGATTTCAATATAATTTTTAAAATTTTAGAAAGCTTTATTTGTTTGTAACTTAAATACTATATTTTAACTGTCAATTTGCAAAATTATACATTTTTTCCAACCATGATGTCTTTTATACTGAAAGGTTTTTCCTTATGATTGTTTCAGACATTCGATGTTTTTAAATATATCTGCCGAGGTTTTTATGAGAAACACAAATATCTTTTCACTCTTCTGTTAACGCTTAAAATTGATTTACAAAAGGAATATATCACATTCGACGAGTTCCAAACATTTATTAAAGGTGCGTTCTTTTGTTTGCATTGTTTTAATTTATAGTTTCTTGTAGGTATGCAGAATAAGTTGTTAGTAGATATTGTTATACATTCAAAAATGTTTGATATATTTTGAAGGCGGTGCCGCTTTGGATCTAAATGCATGTCCTCCTAAACCATTTAAATGGTTGACTGACATGTCATGGTTGAACCTCGTCCAGCTTTCCAACTTACGACAGTTCACAAATATTTTGAACCAAGTGAATAACAATGAAAAAGGATGGAAAACTTGGTATGCTAATTACAGAATCCTAAATATTTAGCAAATGCAATAAATGATGTAAATGATACAGTATCATCTGAGTTCATAGTAGATCTCTTTAGACAAAATATGAACAGGGCAGTGAAATGATGTATACATAATTATAATTTCCACAGGTTTGATAAGGAAGCGCCAGAGGATGAGCCGCTGCCGGACGGTTACCACACACTGGACGTGTTTAGGAAGTTGCTGGTGGTCCGCGCTTGGTGTCCGGACAGAACATTGGCTCAGAGTTTGTAAGTACTCGGCGATCGTTAACGCTTGTCACTCGATCTATGTATCTTTCTGGTATTAATTTAAAAATCTGACATATTGAAACTGCTGCTTACTGGAGTTTATATTTCAGAAAATATGTCGTACATTCAATGGGTGCAAGATTCTCCGAAGCTGTAATAGTCAACTATGAAGTACGTAAAGACTAAATCTTTAAATATGAATTTGATTTTGGTAACAAAATTGACGCAGTTTATTAAATAATTTACATTGTCAGTCTTAATGTAATCAATCTCTTGTTTTTAGCATATGGTCCTCGAGTCACGTCCGCTGGTGCCTTTGATCGGATTTCTTGCAATGGGGTCGGATCCGACGCCTTCAATAGAAATGACGGCAAAACGGTTGGAGTGTATTTGTCAGAGTGTCTCCATGGGCCAGGGGCAGGAGGTGCATGCCAGAAAATTGATAGACCGTGGCCTTAAAGAGGTCAATATTATAATTTTTTACTTAAATCTCATCTCATCAAAATTTTGATTTTATTTTTTATAATAGTTGCAATCCTTAATATCTTTTGACTGGACTTACACAAGGAAACGTTCTTGGATTTTAATAAATTTTCAGGGTATTTGGGTACTGCTACAAAACTGTCATTTAGGTCTGGAATATATGGTTGAAATTATGGAACAGTTTTCGGAACTGGAAAAGGAACCGGAAAAAATTCACGAAACATTCAGGTAACGGAAGCCTCGCTGCTTTATATTGAAATAATGCTTTGATTTGAAATAGGGCATCAGAAATAAATACAAATGAGTGCTTCAAATTTAACATTATTAATTGCAGGCTATGGATTACAACTGAAGTTCATCCAAAGTTTCCTATAACATTGTTGCAAATGTCTATTAAATACACTTGCGAACCTCCATCAGGCAAGATATTTTTATATTTGAATTTTTTCAGACACAAACATTCTCTGGTACTAGAGGATATTTAAATAAATTGATTTTTTGTTAATGTTTACAGGAGTCAAAGCTGGTCTCATGAGGACTTACGATTCCATGAGTCAAGATTTTCTAGACTACAGCGACAGTCCTTTCTATTTACCTTTAATTTATACGATATCTTTCCTCCACACCGTGGTGCAAGAGAGACGCAAGTTTGGTCCGCTCGGTTGGAACATTCCTTATGAGTTTAATTCTGCAGATTGGCTCGCCTCTTGCATGTTTGTGCAGAATCATCTCGATTCGTTGGAGGTCGGACAGAATATTAGCTGGACGACTGTACGGTAAGTTTCATAGTTTAATAAGTGATATAAAAAGAGAAAATCATAATACACAATATTTCTTAATTGTCACTTTTTACTGTTGCAGTTACATGGTATCAGCCGTGCAGTACGGTGGCCGAGTCACCGATGACTACGACAACCGTCTCCTCTGCACTTTCTGCAGGGTGTGGCTCTCCGACCAGCTGTTCTCTGAGAGCTTCCAGTTCTATAAGGGCTACGGTATCATGACCTTTAAAAATATTCCCGAATATATTGAGGAAATCGAAAAGATGAAGACAGTCGATCCACCTCAGACTTATGGCTTGCATACAAATGCGGATATCACGTAAGATAATCTAATAATTAAATTTGTTACACGTGAATTAGTCATTTTATTAATGTACAATCTCTTAACAGATATCAACGCAATGTGACTCAAGAACTACTCGATACAATACTGTCTATTCAACCTAAAGAGTCCAGTTCGGGTGGAGGTGAGACCCGTGAGGCGTCGGTCTATCGACAATCTAAAGAAATGCTTGAGAAAGTTCCACCAAACTTTGATCCTAATGAAGTAAAAGAGAGGTAAAGTATTTTTTGTTTCAATTGTAAAACAAGATGTTTATCTAAAAACTCAAAAGTTGTGATGAAAATTATATGCTTATTAATCAATGCTTATTATAAAAATATTTTTTCAGGTTAAGGTTATATGGGATGTTGAATTCAATGGTGATTTTCCTTCGACAAGAGATTGATCGAATGCAAAAAGTCATCACGTTAGTAAGAAGTACATTGAAAGATTTGTTGCTGGCAATTGATGGAACTATTATAATGAATGAGGTTTGTCTTATTTAGTTTTAATCTCCGAAACATGAACATAAATAGGGACGTTCATATGCGTTTAAATAGATGTTTTTTATTTAATTTTATTCTGTCATAGCTTGATACTTATGAAATTATTTTTTGTGGTATAACGTCGATATAGCAAAATGTCAATTTAATCGTCTTTTTAGGCATTGCGAGATTCTCTGGACAATATCTATGACGCAAAAGTACCAAACATTTGGTTAAGGAGATCTTGGTCTTCCTCGACGCTTGGTTTCTGGTTTACCGAATTCTTAGAGAGAAACACACAGTTTTCGACGTGGTGTTTCCAAGCAAGACCGTTTTCCTTTTGGATGACTGGATTTTTCAATCCACAAGGTATATTACAATAACATTCGTTATTGTTAAAACTTAGCAGATAGAAATGTGATAATTGACTACTAATTACTTCTAATGATTTCATTTTTTACTAATTATCAATTTAACACGAATTTTACAGGTTTTCTGACTGCCATGAGACAAGAAGTAACCAGAGCACATAAGGGTTGGGCACTGGATATGGTCGCTTTGCACAATGACGTCACCAAATACGTTTACGAGGAGATAAAAGCGCCACCGCCGGTGAGATTAGTGACAATATAATTTTAAATCGTTAATCTTTAATTCTCCAAGAAATATTGTACGTTTTGGTGTTATTAGGAGGGTGTATATGTTCACGGCGTGTTTTTGGACGGCGCGGGCTGGGATCGCCGTAACAGCCGTCTCTGCGAGTCCACGCTAAAGGTTCTTTATGCCGCTCTGCCAGTGGTTCACGTTTACGCCATAAATTCTACGGCACCTAAGGATCCAAAGCTGTACCAGGTAAGGTTTGGTAAATTGAGGGAAACAAAATTTAGAAGCCTTAATTTTGACTTAGTGTGCTTAGCGGGAAGTCATTGGATGCGGAAGGCGTAGGTAGACAAATGCTGATGATGATTAATTTTGAATCACTGAAACTCAATATTTATTCTCTCTATATCTCTAGTGTCCTGTGTACAAGAAACCATGCCGCACGGACTTGACATTTATCACACCTCTATGGCTGCCCACGATTAAAAACCCTGATCATTGGATCCTAAGAGGAGTCGCCATCTTGTGCGATATCAAGTAAACCGACAGCTGTTACTCGGTCAAGGAAACACAATATGGCTGTACAGCCAATCTCGCATCACATCTGGCGAAGCCCTGTGTTTTTTTTGATACGATATCTTTTCGACTGAAGTAGTTTTACTTGTTAATCTAGTCTGGCGTAATTTTAATTATATTGTGGTTTATTTATAAAAAAAAGATGTTGTTAATGTAAGCTTTTTATTTTAAATAGTCGAAGCAGAGACGTATCGCATGTTATTTACAAGAGTTGTTTCTCGAACCACTTACAAACCTTTGGTAGTCTGGTTATGGATTTTGTTTGTGGGAAGATAATTGACTGTTCCAATAGTTTGATAGATTACAGAACACATGTAACAGTGGAGGTAAGTTGCATAACAATTGTATTTTACAATATACTGGACGGAGTACGTTCGCTGATTTATTTCTTATACTGGACTGATTGTATTACTATGATCACTTGCTTGTAAGCATCTACAAATTCATACTATCCATAACCTACGTCACATTTAAGTCTCTAAACATATCTTGTTTCGGTTGCGATTACTTTCATAGATTTAATATACATCTGGTAGAATAACAATGATAATGAAACAAAGATTATGTCTCTGGTTATTTTTGCGCTAATTTAAATAAAATAGACACAGGAAATAATCTTTTCTTTGAAGATAACTTTTGTGTTAATTTTTTTTGTATATTATTTTGACCTTTTGTTCCTTTGAGACATGACAGACATTTGAGACATGTTCCTTTGAGATTGGTGTTAAAATTATTGTTATTGAACGTTATTAAATCAAAGTATCCAGTTTATTAAATCTATGAATCGTCGACATCCAGATTAAAATTATTTGCATTACGTCTAAAACTTTGGCAGTAAAGGTACATACAAGAAACTAAAACATCAGTCTATTTTCAAATGAACGCGTTGGATTTGTCTGTTCCGTTACAAAATGATAAATTAACAATGGAAATGAATTAATGCATAACATACTCGATTATGTACACATAAAGTACATCTTAAACGAGATCTAGCATTTCTACATAATTATATTGAACGATTTCATACTATAACAATGTTAAGTTACGTTATCATATTATACATACAGTCTTATGGTATTCACATAATATAAAGCTGTTTTATATCTATTACATTCCAGATATAGTGTTTTTCGGTAAAACAATGTATACAATAGCTTCTAAATATATAAAAGAATTAAAATACATATCTTACAAAGCAAATAAGCTTATAGTCTAAAATATTCGTTGTAACAACGATGTACTTTAAGGGAAGTACTAAAACCAGTACTGCGTACTATATTCATTTCAAAAATGTGAAATGTAAACTGTGATACAATAGTTAATAGAATTTCGCCTTTGGCTGATTGATGAAATCAATATTATTGCACACCATAATATGTTGAATTCTTTGGGGTCTTGAATGCCTTTAGTTCTGTTTTACTTGCCGTCAGCGCGAAAATTACCCAGAGGTTCTACCGATCTTGACCTAGGTGCTCTGAAAATAATACAATTTATTTAGAATAACCCTCGTTTAAATATAAAAAGACATAGTAAAAGAATATTTACTTATCTCTACAATTGAATTACCTTCGTCTTGAAAGCGTCAATTCGATTTTTCCTTCTTTAACTTGTTTGAAAAGCGAAATAGCTCCAGCGTGGCTTAACCCACGAGTTGGAACATTGTTAACCGACAAGATCTCGTCACCTGTAATTTACAAATTAAGAATATTTAAGTACTAGTCCAGCTCAACGAATCAATTCAGTTTGTGATTGTTATGTTTACCTTCAAAGATAGTTCCCTTGTCAGCGGCTTGCCCGTTCGGGAAGACAGTCTTAACAAATATTCCCATTTGTCCCTTTGGAGAATCAGTGCCACCGACAATACTAAAGCCTAAACTCTTGTGGCCTGGCCCCTTCCAGAATTCAGCTTTGTGCGCCGAGCTATTTGAATATTGTTGCTGTTCGTGATTGATAGCCACGTTGTACTCCTGTTGCCGAGACACGTGCGCGCCTGCATTCTGAGGACTTCGTTGAGACCCAACTCTGTTGAAAAATCTACTCCGACTACTGCTACGCAACTGGTCTGGTATACTCTCGAAAGATCTATTTTGGTATAATCTAGAAACATGTTTTATATAGTGTGATGTATTCTCTTTGATTTCGTTAGATGTGTTTTCATTGCAGGCTGCGTAGTTCCCTACTACTGGTTGTGGCCTGGAGTTATGGAGGGATATTGGCCTATAACCGTTTGCTCCTTTACTTCTTGGAACTGGAGAAGACCTCATTGAAATTTCTATATTTGTAATATTTTGTAATGAACCAGGTTGCGTATAGCGTCTTTCTAGCAACTTTTCGTCATCACTTTTTTGATTTGATATAACTGCATGGTTAAATTGAACTCCAATTTCACATTTCTGATTAGCTTCGAATTTATTTGAATGGGAATTCTTACTATTTGGCGTATGTTTAGTGTACTGGTTTTCTGCAGGAAAATGTGTTTCTATAGTAAGTTGATTAGATAAAGATGGTTTGTGAACTGTTTGTGATATTATATCAGGAGGAACATTTAATGAAGATGGAGTAGAGATCGGTTCACAGGGTTGACTGTTTATAATACGACTTAAAGTAATCGGTGTTATTTCATCATGAGCCATAACAAGATCGACCTGGTATCGTTGAAACAGAGTTTTTTCTTCGACGTTGGTTTCTGTGGAACATGAATTAACTATATGTTGAACATCTTTTAAAGACGATAATCCCCGCAATATTCTTCCATTTACATTAACGATTTCGTCTCCTATTCGGAGTCGTCCGTCTCTATGTGCGATTCCATCAAAATCAAGTTTTACTACAATGTAACGTATTTCATAATTGGAACCACTATTGTCGAAGTCTACTCTATGTTGTGCAAGATAAACTCCAAGGCTTTCATCCAATCGTGACTTTAATAACCTGATTTTTCTAAACCTTTTAGTGCACGGTCCCCGTCCTAATATATCTCTTTCAGGTATTGGATGTTGAGGTTGAATGTGCCGGTCACTCATCATATCATTCTGATTCAAATTTGGTGTAGACAAATGTTGAATTGGTAATATTTGGGAATGAAGTAACTTGACTCTTCTGGTTTGAACACGCTCATCTAATGTTACTGTTTTGTAAACATACGGTATTTTTTTATTTATCGATTTCTTTGGGAGTGGTGGTGGTTTAGCATCGTTGTAGTCCACTTGAATTTGCTGACTGGCGTTATTATTAATAAATAGTTTATTTTCAGATACTTTATTTTCATATTCGTAAGATACATCTTTATCAACCGGAAATAGAGCACACGGTGTAGAACTTCGCCTTGCAGGAAGTTGAATTTTGTTTACATTTATTTTTTGATTGAAACTTAGTTGCCTTGAAAAGTTACTATTATTACCATCAAAACTTCTTACATTTGAGTCAGCTCTTGCTGTACCACTCATTAAATGATACGAATATATTGGCGGGGAATGATTACTGTGTTCGTCCATTGGTCGACTATCGCTGTCATATCCCGATTCGTTGGAACTGACGTAATTACTTAGTCGATGAGCTTGGAGAACTTCTTGATGGATACTCTGATTAGAAGATGCAAGATCCGTCTTAAGTTCTTGTGAAGATCCCAGTCCTGCACAATAATCATATACCGGCAGGCTATTTCTGTTTCTTGGAACTAGCATGGGGTCATAATCTAAAGGTCCCCTTTGAGAAATCATTGATGAGCGCCTAGAGACATCGTCATTTTTTCTGTATGAATAGATATTTGCATCAATATCATTAACACTTCTCATAGAGCTTCTCGCAAAATCGCAATTTCCTCTGAGATTAGAGTTAAATAATGTGTTTTCATCATGGACGGTTATATTATCACTGCTTTGATATCGTTCCTCTGAACGGGAATTCGGTAGGTATAATCTTTCCCTTCGAAACTTTGGTGATTTTCTATCTATCCTTTCTGAAAAGCTTTGTCTTACAGAAACTGTTGGCCTGTGTGCCATACTATTTTCTTCTGGTAAAACTGATAATTTTGAACGTAAAAATGCGTACGGAAAATTAGGTTTTTTCGACAGAGTATTCGTTTGTCCTTCTAATTTAGGAATATTGTCACAGCTAATTGCCTTTGTTGCAGAACTCACCAAATTTTCATCTGATATTAAATTATGCTTCTGTTTTAAAGGCGACGATTTATTGCTTTCGCTTTCGCTATTCTGCAAGTCTATTCCATCTGAGGGATCATCAGCTTTGACATAAGTTGATAAATGAGAGGTAGAGCAACTGCGGTAAAGAGAAGGAGTATTTGGTTGACTAGAACTATGCTCGGAAGTTCTATGTGAATTAAGAGAATGAGATTTTGATGAATTTAACATGCCAGTCGAACCCATTCTATGGAAAAATGTTTTGAAAGGACTTGGCGATCGGTCTCTTGACCCGCTTCGAATTGAATCGGTGTCGTTATCTTTTTTAGTAGCATTTGAATCTGAACTGCTGCGCCCCATTTTCCAATTTTGTTTTTTCTTATATTGGCCGGTTACAGGCAACGGTGTTTCATCGTTGACAGCTTCGGATGAAGGTATTTCTTCGGAAGCCTCTTTACCGTCTGGTTTTTTTAACATGTCCAGCTTCTTGCCCATTCGACGACCCCAAGTGGCAAACACTAAAAATTATAGAACACATTTAAAGATATAGAATTCATATTTGATAAATGAGTTTTTGGATCATTCACTAACCTTTCTTCATTTCCTTGACATCGTCCTCCATAACCATGGCTGGGAGTGCGGTGACGAGCGTGTAGTGATGAGGGGCCTGCGGGGCGTGCGGCGGCGGAGCGTCTCTTCGCGGAGACGCAGCGGCGGGGGGCGCGGGGGGCGCGGCGGGCGGCGCGGTCACTTCCCTGCGCTTCGGCCCGCGGAAGAGGCGCATGATGACCGCTCACACAACCATACCGCCGCACCGTGCATGCACTCTGCTCTGACAATAAATTTAATTATTAATAACTAACATTATTGTAAAAAAAACTTAGGAGTACCAGTCAGGTGCATTTCACTTCATCAGTAAATTTTAACTATCCAGGGATGATCTTTTTTATGTCTTTACATAACTTATGTATAAAAATAGCTTTTACTTGCTTTAATATCAACCGTCTATTTTA